TGTGGCTGCAGCCCCTGCCCTACATCTGGGCTCAGATTCTCCCAGCCCTCATGAGTGCGCAGACTGACGGGGATGGGGACTCCAGTACAGGTGAGTGGCTGTGTCTCTGAGCCCTGGTGGGCCGTGTCTGGGGACATGGTCTCTGGGCAGGGAGTGTGAGGGGCCAGCCCGGGGTGTGAGCCCTGCTGTGGGCATCCTGCCTTTAGAGCCCCTGTGTGCGGATTGCCTGGGAGAGGACTGGGCTGTGCCATACGGGGTCTAGTGTGTGCGCTAGAAGTCAAGATGGCCTTAGTGCAGACTTTAATTGTAATTCTCTTCTCAAGAAGCAGACAGTGCCAGCTGTGCAGGAGGCTGAGGAAGGAGAATCATAAATTTGAGGCCAGCCTGGGCAATTTAGCAAGATGTTATCTCAAAATAAAGATAGAAAAGACTGGGAGTATCACTCATTGGAAAGCAGTTTCCTAGCATGTGCAAGGCCCCAGGTTCCATGTCCAAAGTGAAACTGGAGTGTATTTGGTTTTAAAAGAGTTAGAGGAGATCTTAAAATCAAAAATCACCAGATGGTGAAGTGGGCCATGGTGTTTTCAGTTCATGGAAATACGGGGGAACCTTGGGAAGCAACATCCCACTGGGACCAGCCGTCTGCCAACAGGGCCGATGGGATACAGCCGAGGCAGGGTTGTCTCTGGGACCCCATGCAGACTGGTTCCTCTCCAGTGGTTCTACACAGAATCCGCCCGCAGCTGCCTATGAGTGCCTCTCCTGCCTGGCCACTTCACTGAGTGCTGGAAAGGTTCCTCTTGCAATCGGGGGGACCCCCTTTTAGCAGACTGCTGCTGGGACTGTGGCCCAGGGCTCAGCGGCTCAGCGGTAAGAGAAAGTGCTTGAGGTTGGCTGCAGATTTGGGTTTATCCAGCATGGCCCCCCGAATCGGAAAGATTTCACACCCCAAGGAGCCCATGCTTCCCTTCTCGTGTTTCCTGACTTGCATACCCCCTTTGCTGTGGTGAGCCCCACGTGAAATCCAGGGGTCCGGAGGCTGCACGGCCCTTGTGGTACCTGTGTGGGTTGAGGCCATGACCCCCGCGGCCTGCCTGGCCAGTGTGTGTGTAGTGTGCACTGCGTGACGTCTGCGCAGGTTTCTTAGCCCCATGGCTGCCCCAACAGTGGTCTAGCCAGGTATTCATGCTGCATGAATGGACTGCTCCTCGGGTTTTCTGTTCCGCTGCCCACACCCCTCGAGTCTTTGTTCTCCCAGTTGGAAGGTGGGGGCCACGTCCCAGCACTGCCAGATGAGACAGCCCAGTGCGCAGGGTTCCTGCGTCACTGCTCCCCGGGGCTGGGCTGGAGGACAATCGTTCCTTGCACTTGGGCAGCTTCGGGCGCATGTTTCTCTGCTGGCCCCACTGGCGAACTTTCGGGTAAGCAACTGTGCTAAGAGCACCCAGCCACGAGTGGGTGGATGGCATGGGCTCTGGACACTGCTTACCACTTGCCTTTCTGTGCCTCTGCCTCTGTCTCGGGTGAGGAACCTGAGCCCTGGCAGCCGGTGGTGACCTTGTGCAAGGTCATGAGCTTGGGATTGGCCCCATCAGAGGGAGAATCTGAAACCTATGGGCTGTTGGGGCCTGTGGTATGATGTGGTGGGGAGTGGGCACTGGGTGTGGCCATTGTGTCTTCTGCACACTGTCATTCACGCTGGTATCTGTCACGGGTTGTGGCAGGACCTTGACCCTCAAAGGAAGCCTGCAGGCTCGCAGACGTGAGGGCATTCAGACCTTTCTTCCATCCCTATGTTAGTTCAGCTGCAGACGCCAGCAAGGTTGCTGGAGCCCAGAGGATTCTCCCCCCCCCCCCCCCCCGGGCTTCCCGGTGGCAGCCTTGGCCATGGCTGCCCTGTGGCCTTCCCTTCCCTCTCCACCTGGCTTTGCCTTTCATACACACATGTTCACAGGAGCACAGGTGTACAGCCGTGCACTCGCACCCAGGCACACGCATGTACAGATGTCAGAGCTGTTTGAGAGTACATGGTGTGTTTCATGAAAGCAGGCACTGTTCATGAAAGAGGCACCTTTATGTGTCCTCTGGGTGCAGCCACCGAACTGGAGCGCTAGACAGCAACCTCAGTAATCAGGTTTCACCTTGAAGCCCAGCAGTATCACTAGAGACAGAATTGGGGTTCTGCCTTGTGCACAATGGACAGTGACATCCATCGTGCCCCTTGTGGACCTAGGGAGCTCTGGCCTCCCTGCATGCCCATGGCAGTGCTGTGTCCTGGAAGCGCTGGGCCGCTCACTGTCTGTGGGGAAGCCAAGGCTGTTGCCCAGGCTAGGGTGCAGCTGGAGGGTGCATTTTCCTTTGTCTTCTTCCAGGCTTTGCTGCAAGACAGGGGTGGCGGTGGTGGTACAGAGCATGGGTGCGGCCAGGGTGGAGGTGCAGTGCAGGGCATGGACCTGGTCCTGATGCACATTCCAGTGGCCCCTGGGCAGCCTAGTGAGGTTTGGCCCCCCTGTCCCGCTGTAACGCTGCATCTGGTCGCTGGGCTTTGCCTATACCTTGTGGTCTTCGTCTGCTGCAGGTGAGCCTTGGCCTTGGCTGGATGAGGGAGCCCACACATTCCCGACTGTTGTGGTTCAACCTTTGGATGAGAGACGCTGGGCAGGTGTGGGTTTCACAAGCAGCGCAGGTGCACATGTGTGTACGTGTATAGATGTGGGTTTGCAGACCGAGATGCCTCTAGCCTCTAGGCCCTTCTGTGAGTGAACAGCCCATGTTTCACTCCAGACTGTAGGACTAGCTTGGGCAAGCCATGTGCCAATGAGGCTGCAGGGTGCAAGGACCCTGCTCAGTGGGGCCAGGGAGGAATGGCAGTGTGTCTAGCCCCACACGGGGTATGGGGCCGAGCTCAGGGCCAGATAGTGCCCTCTGGGTCCCTGGTGCTGTCCTCACTGCCTGCCCCAACCTGAGGATGCTCGGCAGGGACCCCACAAACCACTGTGCCGCCTGCTGCTATGCAGCTGTGGTGTAGGGAGAGGGCCTGGAGAGCTAAGGATGCCTAAGCCATGAGGCAGCCCCTCCAGGGATCCTGTGGAGACTGCGAGGCCCCTTAGTGTGGGCTGTCCAGTAGGCCTGGGCCCTCATGGAGGTTTCCCCTCTACATGTTGTAGAACATGAACCAGTGCCACAGGCTTAGGTCTTGGGAGTGGCTCAGTGTCAAGTTCAGTGACCAGGGCCTGGCTCAGGCATGTCCTGAGCAGGGGTCCTGTGGGGGTCCTGGGATTCCGATGTTGTGGTGCCATTATTGTGGACTGCAACCTAACCAGTGGGAGTTAACCATAGTGCTGGCATGGGATTGGGGAACTTGAGACCCACGGCTGCTGTCAAGCAGAACCCAGTAGAGTAGCATGTGCCCCAGTCTGGGTGCCGAGTCACCTCACCACAGGGCTGTCTGGGGGGAGCTCCTGGTGTAAGGTCTTTGTGCTAGGGGATCAGGACTACGAAGTTTGGGACCCAAGAAGGGACTGATTGTGACTCTGTTGTTATCCTCCCTGTGGAGGCAGGGGTGCCTGACCACCTCTCCTTCCTGGGCCACCAACCTCAGAGCCCCAGGACTTGAGTTGCAGCAGGAGCCCCCTGTGGCTTGTGTGCCCATGTGGCCTACCATGTCTCCAGCACAGGGGACGCAGAGGTGCCTTGCCTGGCACCCACTGTCTTTGGGCAGGATGTGGTAACCCAGGAGTGGGCCCTGCCTCCAGGCCCCACTCAGATGAGTCCCTGGAGGCCCCTAAGGGTCCTGTCTAAGGGGCTGGGGCTGGGGTCCTGCTGGGCTTGAGGGTGTGATTTGGATCTAGCCCTGCATCTTTTTCTCCCAGGTCTGTCTGCTCCTGGCCTCTCCTGTCCCATTTCTGTCTCCTCCTGCTGCTGCTGCCACACTGCCTTGGTGGTTCTTGCCTTCCCAGGCTTGCACCTGCCTGTGTAAAGCTGGGGCAGAGTGCTCACGCCCATGTCCTAGCTTATGGCCCGAGGTGGAAATGCTGGGGCCCCTCAGGGTGCCTGCTGTGTGCAGCCAAGCCAGGACAGGGTTTGTGAAGTGGTCACTGGAGGACAGCTGTGCTCTGTGCCCCAGAGTTCCTACAGAGGTCACTATGTGTGTGCAAGTCCTATCTTGTGGGAAACCAAGGCAGAAAAGGCAGGCCAGGAAGCTGTCCCCTTGTGTTGTGTCCTGGGCTGGGCGACCCCTTGGGGGCCGAGGAGGGCACAGAGACCAGGGTCCCCACTCTACTGATCAGGTGTGGTTTAGTCCTGGCGTGGTGGTGTGTGTACTAGTGGTTAGGGTACTGACATGCTGGGCTGTAGTGTGGGGATCCAGCATAAGTTGCAAGGTCACCTTGGGCTGTGCAGCCATCCATGGAGGGTGGATAGAGTAAGTGACCTGTGCCTATAGGATCAGAGGTTAGAAGCCCAGGGATGCCCTGGGGACTGTGTCCCTCTGCCTTAGAACACCAGATGCTCATTTCTGTGACCACACATGGTACTCAGGACCTCGGCTAAAGGTACCAGCCTCACTCTCTGCTAGGTGTGCACCTGCCCTGTGGCCCTGCCTGCAGACAGAAGATGTGGACTAGAGCTGACTCTGCCCTATGTCTGCCTGTGGACAGAGAAGGATAGGGGACTTAGTGTGGCAGGAGCTGGCTCTGTGCTGGGCACATCAGTGGTCTTGTGTAAAAAGCAGCAAACTTTTCATCCTCTTAGATGCCCTAAACAGTTGGGGTATTCAGGGGCCAGAAGTTAGCTCTGGCCTGCAGGTGAGAATTGCACCTAGTCTAGGGCCCACAGTGATTTTTAAGGCTGCAGGCCCTCAACATCATGCAGGGCCACTGCGCAGCCCATTGGTGTGTATGGTGCACCCCACCTTGGGGATGTGGGGCAGCAGAGGGTGTCTTGGGCCTGCCCTGCCCACTGTGTCCTGCTTTCTTCTCTGATGCCACCCCTCTCTGCAGGAGATGGGACGCCCCGGGAGAGCAGCCCATTCATCGGCAGTGTGGACATGGAGCGAGACAGCTACTATGAGGGAAAGAACATGGCGCTCTTTGAGGTGATACCCTTTAGGCGGAGGTCCAGGCTGCCATGTGGGAGGCCCCTGGTGTGACCAGGCAGTGGGAGCTGGGCCCCCTTGCACTGCCTGGCCAGGGCTGCCCTCCCCACCTTCTCCAGGCCTCCTGGGGAGCCTTCTGTCCTTAGCCTGCCTCGTGGTGCCCAGGGCCCCCTCAGACTGCCCCATGACGGGTGCTGTCCCCAACAGGAGGAGATGGACAGCAACCCCATGGTGTCCTCCCTGCTGAACAAGCTGGCCACCTACACCAACCTGAGCCAGGGCGTGGTGGAGCACGAGGAAGATGAAGACAGCAGGCGGCGGGAAGCCAAGGTACTGTCCGGCCCTAGCTGGTCCCGTGCAGCCTCGGTTGCATGCGGGATTGCCCTGCCTTTGCCTGGGAGGCGCCATCCCCCTCAGGTCTCCGCAGATGCTAGGACGTGGCCTGGCTTCCGGCCAGGGGGACAAGGTTCCATCCTCAAGGGAGGGTGGCTGCAGGACTGGGCAGTGATGGGCCCGGGCAGTGCCAGAGACATGGGAGCAAGGCTGCTGCTCCCTGCACCCTCAGGTCACAGGCCCCACTCACCTGGCCCCAGGTCTCCCACCTTGTCCCCAGCAGGCAGCCGAGAGGGGGCGCTGCTGCCTGGTTTTCTTGTTTCTGGTTTTTGTTCAGTACTGGAAATTGAGCCCTTAGTCTTTGTACTGAGCTACATCCCAGCTCCTTGAAAATTTTTATCTTGAGACAGGGTCTCACAGAGTCTCTGAATTGCCTGGGCAGAGTCTGAATTTGTGATCCTCCTTCCTCAGCCTCCCACAGTACTGGGATCACAGGACTGTGCCCAGTTGCCTTTTTGAAAAACACCACCAGGGCCCCACTTTCTCTGAGGAGAGACCTGTGATGGGGGAGAGGCTCGAGGACACGAGAGGGCTGGGGAGCCGCCTTCCCCATGCACCCACTGCCCACCTCCCTCAGTAGTGTCCTTTGTCCGCAGTGGTTTTCCCCTCCTTCCTCGCACTGCACTTGCAGTGGACCGTACTTGGGCTCCCGAGGTGTGTGCCCGCTGGTGGGGGTCACGGAGCCCACACAGGGCACAGACGGGGACGGGGTGGGCAGTGGGGTACTGTGACCCACTTGGCTCTGGCTGCTGTTCTGGTACTGAGTGACAGAGGCTTCCTGGCCCAGTGTCTGATGCAGTGCCCCACCCCAGCCCTGTGGGACAGTGGGTGGAGCTCCAGGCGATGGGTGTCTCATTCGAGTGCATTTCCGCAGTTGTACCTGGCACAGGGCTGCCTCGAGGCCTGGAGGGTCTTTATCCCAGCCTTGCTCAGCGTCTGTCTGTCTGTTCCTCCATTCTGTGCTGAAGCAGATGCTGGGGAGACCCAGCCTGTGCTGAGGAACAAACAGTTCCCAGGGTTCTGGTAGGGACGTGCCCGGAAGCCAGCCCTAGCCTCGTCCTGACCGTCTGGCACCCACCCCAGGCAGCAGCCCTGGCCCCTGTGCTGCTTGGGGACCTGCTGTCCCAGACTGGATTGCAGACCGCTGCAGGACTCTTGGCAGGGCCCTGTGCCACAGACAGATGGAACTTGGTTGAGGGAATGGACTTGTCCCACTCGGGCTGTGTCTCCAGGGTGGAAAGATCAGGGACTGCCCCTTGTCCCCTCCTTGGCCAGGATGCTCCCTCAGGCCAGTGGGGTCAGAGGCTGAGCCCTGGTGAGCTGGGAGCCATGCGTGTGGCCAGAGGCTCCCAGCCAGGGACTTCCTGTCAGGTGGCCATGCCTCCTCTCTGGGGACCATGGTTTTCAGTCTCCAGCGGCCTGCAGGGTGCAGACCAAGGGGTAGAGGGGTTGCCACGCTGCTTCCCTGCTGGACATCACTGTTGCCTGTCATCGTGGTGCCATGAGTGGGGTGCCCAGGCCTGGCTGCCCTCACGCTGGGCCTTGGGCCTCAGCTGTGGAGCTCTGCATGCTTTCCAGCAAGGACTGGGTGTGGTTCCTGAGGAGCATTCCTGTCCTTCCATGTGGTGGTCAGTGTGTCCTCCTAGGGGGCTCTCAGCTGGGTCATAGGGGTCGGAGGCCACCTCCCGGCCTGCTCAGTGCTGGGCTGTGTGATGTCCCAGCCTTATTACACCATGCTTGAGGTGAGAGGAGGGTGAGCCAGAATCACCGCCCACATTTAGGCAAGGAAGGGGTCCGGGGAAGGCCTGGGTTGGGGCTGAGGGCCAGGCTACACGCTGTGTGCAGAGCCGGGCCCCTGGACACAGTACTCTCTTCCAGGCCCCGCGCATGGGCACCTTCATTGGTGTCTACCTGCCCTGCCTGCAGAACATCCTGGGTGTGATCCTCTTCCTGCGCCTGACGTGGATCGTAGGGGCAGCAGGTGTCCTGGAGTCCTTCCTCATCGTGTCCATGTGCTGCACCTGCGTGAGTGGCCGTGGCCACCTGTTCCCCCAGATCCCAAGGGTGGGGCATCCTCACCCATGGGGGCCTGGAGTCTACTACTCTGAGCCTTGGGATAACCCCACAGGTCTGGCCCACAGCGCCAGCATGCCAAGGGTCACAGGCTGCCCACTGGCCTGCTGGGGACTGGCCCACTGATATCCCATAGGGCATGCTGAGCTATTGCCAGGCCCTTCTGTGGGCCTCTTTCCAGCATGTCGGGACATATCCTCGGCCCTGTGGCCTGTGTCTGTCTTGGTGACGGGAGGTCTTCTCTCCATCTCCGGGTCCCCACCCTGCTGTCTCTGCCTTACTCTCACGAGAAGAACTAGCACACCTTCTTTACTTCCCACTCATCACCTGACTACCCACTGGGCGCCCTGTGACTGGCTGCAGGCCATGGTGCTGTCCATCTTGTCTGGTCACTTACAGTGGCTGCTGGCCCTTCCTGGTGTCATAGGCAGGCTGTCTTGAGGTGGTGGTAGCTGGAGACCAGGATCCATCCCTTGGGGGAGTGGGCATGAGAGGGGCTATGCACCTCAGTGCAGGGTGATAGCTCCCTGGGGATCACTAGGGAGTGGCCCCTGGGCAAAGTCAGCCTGCCAGGACCAGAGCCCCGAGTTGGGGTGTCCTGTGGACTGGGACCAGGGCACCATGGGCCTGGGTGTTCCCAGGGTGCCCACATTTTCTCACGCTGTCCCTCTGAGATTGGGAGCCAGGCTGGGGGCCCCAGGCACCTGCCCTCAGGGGCCCTCTGTCTTTGCAGACGTTGCTGACTGCCATCTCCATGAGTGCCATTGCCACCAACGGCGTGGTCCCAGGTGAGCTGCTGTCACCCACAGGTTAATTTAAATAAGTGCTTTTGCTACACTGAGCCCCACAGCTTGCAAAGCACGGGGAGGTGCAGTGTCACTGCACCAGCCTCGAGGCCATGGGTGGTCAGGCTGGGATTCCTGGTGGCCCTGGGCTCTGCAGTAGCTGTGGGCAGACTCCTTGTCTGCCTGCCTGTGTCCCCTGTACCCTGAGTGCTGTTCCCCCCCCCCCCCGACCAGGGCCCACAGCATTTTGGTCTTCACTCCCCTGAGCTGTGGGTTGATGTTAAACCCAGTCTTTCTGAGGCTCTTGATGAGGGGTGCGGTGGGGCCCACAGGGGCAGCGTGTGCCCTAGGGCCTTGTGTTATGTCTGTGGCAGCTGAGTGTGTGGCTGCAGCTGTGGGAGATGGCCCCCAGGAGGGCGCATGCAAAGTGGGTGCGGGCCCTGTAAACTGGCTGGACCCTCAGCGAGTTCTGTGCGTGTGCATCTCACTGGAAAGGTGAGGCCTACCGCGCTATTCGAATCAGGTTGTGGTCTCGCAGGTGCCTTAGCGGATAGCCTAGACTGGGCGCTGAGTCCCAGGACCCTGCTCTCTCGATGTGTGCTCCCTGATGCTGCTTGCAGGGCCGTGCTGGCTGCAGGCTCTGATTCCTTCCCTGGGCTCTGTTTCCCAAGATGGAAGGACACAACCACCGTCCCCAGACAGTCTGGCCCTGCTCTGCCTCTGTGTGAGAATTGTGAGCAGAGCCGGCTGTTAGGGCTGGCTCTGGGCTGTGGCCTGGCTTTGTGCCTATGTGCTTGAGGACTGCCTGCTGGACACCCCTCCCTGGGAAATGAGGCCAGGGTCACAAAAGCCCCTGGTACCCGCCACATAGTGCTCAGTGGGTTATGGCCCCCCCAGCTCTGCGGCTCTGTGAATATACCAGCCCTCCTAACCTGTGTCTTTCCCATGTCCCTTGCAGCTGGCGGCTCCTACTACATGATATCTCGGTCGCTGGGGCCTGAGTTTGGGGGCGCTGTCGGCCTCTGCTTCTACCTCGGCACGACATTCGCTGGGGCCATGTACATCCTTGGGACCATCGAAATCTTCCTGGTGAGCGTCCTCTGGTAGCTCATCTCTCCCAGCGCTCTGCCCACAGGCTGCCCCCAGGTGCCCTGCATCCCCACCCTGCCCTGTCCAGGCTCCAGCTACACCCTGTTCCCAAAGCCTTAGCCCCCACTTCTGAGGCCTGTGGCACATTCCTCACTGGTCTGTGCCATCTGGGAGGGCCAGAGGCAATGGGCTGTTGAGAGAGACAGAGACTGAGAGGTAAAAGGCAGAGAGACAAAGATGGAGACTGCTGCCCAGTAGGCCCCCTCTGCTCCCTCGCACTGGTCACAGCTGGGCTGCAGTGTGGCAGGCAGGACTGGACTGCGAGGCAGTTGGGGTGTGGGACCCTTGTCTGCATGAGGAGGTCTTCATGTTCCTTGCTTTGGGGGCGTCAGATTGCCAGGAGGGCTGGGACTCAGGGGCCCAGAGTCTGGGAAGCTGGCCCTCCTGACCCACCCCGGTCCTACAGACCTACATCTCCCCAGGAGCGGCCCTGTTTCATGCAGAGGGGGCGGGTGGCGAGGCAGCCGCCATGCTGCACAACATGCGGGTGTATGGCACCTGCACGCTGGCCCTCATGGCTGTGGTGGTCTTCGTGGGCGTCAAGTATGTCAACAAGCTGGCCCTGGTCTTCCTGGCTTGTGTGGTGCTGTCCATCCTGGCCATCTATGCTGGTGTTATCAAGACTGCCTTTGACCCGCCCGACATTCCGTGAGTCTGCCCTCGGGCCTGGCCTGTCCCTGATCCTGGCCCTGGCTCTGGCCCTGCCCCTACTGGTGGGCCTGCTCATGCTTCTGCTTCTGGCCTGCCCTTGCCGTGCACCTTCCCCGCTCCTGGCACTGGCCTCGGCCGCCCCTGCCTCTGCCCCTGTCCTCCCCTTCCCAGTTAGTTGAGAAGGGAGTGGCTGGGTCACAGCCAGCGTGTGAGGTGGGGCAGGACAGGACCTGGGCCCCAGCTGGGCTGGGGTGGCGTGGGGCTGGGGTCAGGGTGCCTGAGGCTGAAGGTGGAGGTGTGCCTCCTCCTTCACAGAGACGCCGGTGAAGGCTGGGCAGCCTGGAAGGACCAGCCACCTCAGCCCACGGTGGCTCGGGCTGGGTCATGCTGCTCCTGCATCAGCTCTGTGCATCAGACACTAGGGACCCTGAAGCAGTGGGGAAGCTGAGTGTACCTGCCCACCACAGGGTCTGTCTCCTGGGGAACCGCACACTGGCAAAGCACAGCTTCGACACTTGTGCCAAGGTTCACGTGGTCAACAATGGCTCAGCAATAGTGACCACTGCGCTCTGGGGCCTCTTCTGCAATGGCTCCAGCTCCAGCGCCACCTGTGACCAGTATTTCATGCAGAACAACGTCACTGAGATCCAGGGCATCCCCGGCGTGGCCAGCGGCGTTTTCCTGGGTGAGCCCCAAAGCGAGATCCCAGTCCCTCCTGCCCGACTGTGTCCCTGGCTTCTGCCTGGCCAGACCTGCAGCTGGCCGCCCTCCCCAGCCACCTGGCTGTCCCCCGCGCCCATGGCCAACCAGACCCACGCGTGGGTCTCAGAGCCAGAGTTCATTTCATGGAGCGCAGAACAGTGTCAAGAGAGTAGCTGGGTGTGGGCCCTGCTCTGTGAGGGACCCGTCCCCCCACTCCTCTTGATAAAGGGTCAGATGTCACTGCCAGCCTGCTGGACGTCAGACTGCAGTGAATTCCAAGATCAACAAGGGCTAGGGCGGTTGGCTGGGGAGCAAGAAGAGCTGCTGAGAGATAGGCAGGTTGTCAATGATCTCACTTCTCTGAGAAAGTTTTATAGAGCAAAATTAGGAGGTGGTGTAACCTGGGTCAAATCTGTAGTCAGCCAGTGAGTTCAGGTGTAGCTGTCTGGCCAATACTGACCTGGTTATTGCAAAGGCACCTGGCTGATCGGTCTTCTTTCCAGTGTTAGGCTTAGTCTTGGTGGGTGCAGGTGGCCTGCCTCAATGAAATAGATAATAGTTTACATGAGAATCTCACAAGGGTGGTACCAGGAATCTCTGATCCCCTAGGGAAGCATGTAAATCTGACTGTTGAGGCTTTTAATCTTTAGTTGGTCCCCAACCACAGTCACACTCCTTCCTGCCCTTGGCACTGACTCCCTCTAGGGTGTTTTTGCCTAACCCAGCCATCTGTCGTACCCACACCCGGAGACAGGCCTGTCTCTGAGGGACAGATAAGATAGTCACAAAGCAGCTCTGGTCCCCGGTTGCATCTTGGGGTCAGGTTCGTGTGTGGGACCTTGCTGGGCACCCAAGTGCTTGCCCAGGCTGGGTGACAGGGAAGACCATCCTGCGCCTCCCACGAGGTCCTGACCCATGAGCCCAGCCCTGTAGGAGACCCTACAAAGTCATGCAGATACTGGGGTCTAGAACAGAGGGGTGCCAATGGATGCTGGGCAGTGAGGCATGTTGTGGCCTGTGAGGACGCCCAGCCATCCACAGACAACGAGGGCTGTGCTGCCCTTGCTCGGCCACCTGCCCTGACAGCATTGGGGTTGGCACTGGTGCCTTTGTGAAGCGCTGATGCCCAGGGCTGTTTCAGGGCTGTGGGGTGCCAGGCCCCCCACGGGGCCTTGCATAGCAGGGGTGGGTGTCGTTTGGGTTTGGCAAGGACAGCTTGCAGTCAAGGAGGACGCTGTGGACTGTTCGACCTCTGAGTGTCTCTGAGCCACCCAACTCCAGGGAGCCTGGACAGAAGGTTCCAGAATCCGCCAGTGAGCAGCCTGTTTCCTCAGCAAACCTATGGAGCACGTACTCAGACAAGGGCGCCTTCGTGGAGAAGGAGGGCGTGCTTGCAGTGCCCGTGCCCGACGAGAGCCGTGCCAGTGGGCTGCCCTACGTGCTGACTGACATCACGACCTACTTCACCCTGCTGGTTGGCATCTACTTCCCCTCTGTCACTGGTGAGCCCTCCCGTCGCTGTTCTCAGCCGCACTTCCCGCTTTGCTGTTGCTGTCTCTGTGCTTTTCTCTGTGTCTGTGTGTCTCTGCTTCTCCCTGTCTGTCTCCATCTGTGTTCCTGTCCTTCCCTAACTGCTCCTTGGGGTCACGGTCTCTATCACTGCTTCTGGCTGTCTCTCGTCTCTTCCTGCCTTTCTGTCTCTGCCTCCCTGTTTCTCTTCCATCTCTCTGTCTTGCTGATGTTTCTGTCTCTCTCTGTATCTCTCTGAGCGAATCCCCCTGGGAATTGCCAGGCTAGCTCTGGCGATGGCACCCAGGAGGGGCCTGCATGCACCCAAGGCCCTGATCCCCTGCCATCCTCTGCTACGGTTGGAGACTCCAACTGGACCTACTCACTGCTGGCTTCTCTGTCCTCTGGCTGGAGTTGCCCTGCACTGTGTGAGCTCTGTGCAACGACTCTTCCTGTGGACCAGAGCAGGAGGGTCTGGACCTCGAGGCATCCTTTAGGCTGGCTGGGCCACAAGGCATCAGCCCATGGCTCCATCCTGGGATTTCTGGCCATGGCCTTGCGCTTCACTGAGGTCTCAAGGCTGCAGTGCAGTGGGAGAGGCGCTTCTGAGGTGCTGCTGGTTCCACGGTGGTGGGGACTGGCTGGGCTGGGCCTTGTCCTTGCTGCCTGAAGGGGTCACCGTGGCTCCGGCCTCACCATGACCTGGGGACACCTGGCTGGGGTCTGGGCTTCGTTCTCTGTTTTGTGGAGGTCAGTGGCCTGAAGACACAGGGTCCCCAGAGGCCACCATCCTGCCCCTACTGGTGGTTATGGTGCCACCCTTTCTGATGCCTTGCTGGGTCTTCGCCTGTCCGTGTTTCCCACAGGTATCATGGCAGGGTCCAACCGCTCCGGGGACCTCAAAGATGCACAGAAGTCTATCCCCACGGGGACCATCCTGGCCATCGTGACCACGTCTCTCATTTGTATCCTTGCCAGACTATCAGGTGGAGGCATTGGTGTCTGGCCTCCTGCACCCCTCTGCTCCCATGCAGAGCTGTCTAGGGGCTGCAGCCGAGGTCTTGGCCACAACCCTATGCTCTGGAGCTGGGCTGCCCAGCACATGCAGGCCAGTCATCCTTGACACTTGGACCCCACTTCCCTCACACTTGGTCATGTAACTTCACGTGCAGCCTGGGGGCGTGGCCACGTTGTCACATGGACACTCAGTGATAAGCATAGACACTGCCATGCTCGGTGGGACTGCAGGTCTCTGCCATCCACGAGCCCTGCCTTTCTGCTGAGCTGTATGTCTCTGCAGTGGTCTCGTGTGGCCAGGCACATCCTGCCCACCCAGAGTCCCATGTGAGGCAACTGGATGGAGCTGTGAGAAGGGCCCTGTGGCCCTGGGGACTGGGACAGGCAGCAGGGTCAGGGCGTGGGGTGGCATTGAAGGTGGCACCGCCCGGGATGAGTGGGCATAGGGTCAGTCCAGGCCTGCTGGCCGATGGCCCCAAGCCCACCATGTGCACTGCAGTCTCCCACTGCAGCCTGGTTGGTCACTCCTTGATCCAAGCCCCAGATCTCTCCTGCATCGTGCTCTTTGGGGCCTGCATTGAAGGTGTTGTCTTACGAGATAAGTATGTTGGCCTTTGGTCTTTGAGGGGAAATTCTGGCAGGACTCAAATTCTGCCTGCCCTGAGGCAGAGGCCCTCTGTCTGGTTGGGCTGCCCTGGAGGCCCCAGACTGCCCAGCAGGCGCCTGCTTGCTGGGCCTGGGGTGGGGCCTTGGATCACGGACTGACAGTGAATCAGGGTGGAGCCTGGTGGAATGCCGTCCACCAGGGCTTGGTCTCAGTTACCCTGCTGAGGGAAGCCATGTAGTCAGTAGACCATGGCAGGCCAGGTCTCCCAGGTGACCATGGCAACTCAGGGAGCTGGGGCTGCTTCCGAGAGTCTCTGGAGCGTTCTGGCACACTGGGTGGACCTGAAGGATACCAGCCGGGTACTTTTCATTGAGGAGCTGACCCCACCTGGAACTCCCCTCCAGGAGACAGCTTGTTTCCTGGAAGCTGCGCTGACTGCCTGCCCTGCCCCCACAGGTTTGGAGAGGCCTTGCAGGGAAACCTAGTCATTGGCATGCTGGCCTGGCCATCCCCTTGGGTCATCGTCATTGGCTCCTTCTTCTCCACCTGTGGTGCTGGCCTGCAGAGCCTGACAGGAGCACCCCGCCTGTTGCAGGCCATAGCCCGTGACGGCATCGTCCCCTTCCTGCAGGTGCGTCCTCGCCTGGCCTCCGTGGCCACCATTGCCCTTTGTGGGCCTGGGAAGTCGGGGTCGAGTGGGAGGTTGTGAGAGGCCTCTTCCTGGGTGTGGCTTTCAGAGTGGCGATGGACACGTCTGTCTGCCTGGCCCATGGATCCTGTGGCCTGGGCAGTCTCACCATTGGCAGGGACAGCCTGGGTGTCATGGGACAAGGCTCCCTGGAGACTCTGGGTGTGGGTAAGCCAGGCTCCTGGGATAGTCCGGTGACATGTTAGGTCAGGACTGCTTATTTTCCTCGACCACCCCCCCCATGCCCACAGGTATTTGGCCACGGAAAATCCAATGGGGAGCCCACATGGGCCCTGCTGCTCACGGCCTTCATCTGTGAGACCGGCATCCTCATTGCCTCACTGGACAGTGTGGCTCCCATCCTGTCCATGTGAGTGGCCGATGTCCCTTTGTGTGCCGAGCACCCTCAGCCTGGGAGACAGTGATGAGCAACCGGTGGATGCACAAGTGTTGGGGGGGTGGGCCTCCAGGCTGGAGTGGGCAGCGATGCGGGGATGTGGCTCACTGTACGCAGCATGTGGCCCAGGGTTGCAGGGAATGGCCTGTGTCCACGTGGACTGCAGGTCTCCAGGAGATGGGAGCCGGACACAGGCAGTGCAGCCAGTGCGACTGACAGTCTGTGACCCCCTTGTCCCGCCCAGGTTTTTCCTCATGTGCTATCTGTTTGTGAACCTGGCCTGCGCTGTGCAGACCCTGCTGCGCACGCCCAACTGGCGCCCTCGCTTCAAGTTCTACCACTGGTACGGTGGATCCAGTCGTGCCCCCTGGTCCCTCAGGACTCCTGGTCCCACACGGTGCCAGAGCCCCCACCTTGTGGCCAGCCTGGGCCTTCTCACCCTGAGCATAGGGGTTGGGGGGTGGGCTGCCTGAGAGGGCTTTGGGCGCCCAGCCCTGGGGACAGGAAGGCCACCTCGTGTCCTGAGGGGCCAAAATACTGCAGGAGGGCGTGGGCGATGGTGTCATCTTAGAGCCAGAGCCAGGCCCTGTGTCAGCTCCAGGAGGCTTGGGTCAGCTGATGGCTGTACATGGGAACGGTGTTTGCGGTCGGGGATGGTGGCGTGTGAGGTCCCAGCCTGAGCCGTGTGTCCACAGGACGCTGTCCTTCCTGGGCATGAGCCTGTGCCTGGCCCTGATGTTCATCTGCTCCTGGTACTACGCACTCTTTGCCATGCTCATTGCTGGCTGCATCTACAAGTACATCGAGTACCGCGGGTGAGCAGCACCCTGGGGCAGCCAGGACCAGATTTGGGGTGCTCTGCAGCAGGGGGCAGGGACACGGAACCTGGCCGAGGCTTGGACAGGCAGAGCCCCTTCCGGCCTGGAGCTTGCTGCTGTCGGCAGCCCTGGGTGGCAGGGCACCGGGTGGTTGGTGTTTGTACCGCACAGGCTGTGTCTTGCTGGTGTGTCCTTGTCCACGCCTGCACTTGTTCTTGTGTCCTAAGTGGCTGAGACCCTGTCCACCCTCATGAGACTTCCTGTGCACATCACTGCCAGGTCTCCCTGCCCAGGTTGGCCACACAGCACAGCCAGGGTGGGGTAGTGTGTGTGGCAAGCTTCCTGCTTCCTCAAAGCGCAGGTCTGCAAAACACGCAGCCAGTGACCATGCACCACTGCTGCGTCTCAGAGCCATGACCTCTAACACTGCTCTCTGTCATTTGTGGCCTCCTAGTCCCCCGTGGCCGGCCTGGCCCTGGCTCTGCCCCGGGACTGGCATGACATGGCATGGACCCCCCATTCTCTGAACTGAGGGGCTGCCTGTGGCCCCATCTTGTCGACCCACTGCAGAGCTGACTGACTCAGGCTGGGGCCCCCTCCACCCTGCCCCGGCTTTCCCCCTGGACTGGCCTGCTTGACTCCTCCATTGGCAAGTCCAGGGCAGGGGCTGGGGAGGTGGCTGTCCCTGCTGGAAGACCAGTTGCCTGGCCCACTGTGCCAAAGCCTGGGCTCTGTGCTGCCTCTGCTTCCCATTCCTCCCAGACCCACCCTGTGTGCCATCCTGCCTGCTGGTGAGCCCCTCCAGGCTGTTGTACATGAAGACCTCCCTCTGTCCTCACAGGGCTGAGAAGGAGTGGGGTGATGGCATCAGGGGCCTGTCGCTGAATGCCGCCCGTTATGCCCTACTGCGTGTGGAGCACGGGCCTCCCCACACTAAGAACTGGAGGTGAGCCATTGCTGTGGGTGTCCAAAGCCTGCCCAGCAGGCAGTAGGCAGAAACTGGACCAGCAGGTGTCCCCACTGGAGACAAGAGTGTCCTCCACATGGAGCGCTGGCCTGTGGCTGGCCCACAGCATGGCTGCCAGGGACCCCAGGGTGAGAGCGGGTGCCTGTCCTCCTTCTCCTGCCTTCCTGCTTCCGTCCCGTTGCCTCTCCAGCCCCTGCCCTGTCCTCAGGCCCCAGGTGCTGGTGATGCTGAACCTGGATGCAGAGCAGGCCGTGAAGCATCCACGCCTGCTGTCCTTCACCTCACAGCTAAAGGCCGGCAAGGGCTTGACCATTGTGGGCTCTGTGCTGGAGGGCACCTTTCTGGACAAGCACGCCGAGGCACAGCGGGCTGAGGAGGTATGCGTGGAGGGCCCATGCATGGGGCTGCGGCAGCCAGTGGGCTCGGACCCAATGAAACCCAGCATCGTGGCCTGGCTGGAAGGGCCGTGGCCACCTTTAGGTGGAAAAGCTGGCCCTTACTGTGTGCTGGGTCTGGCGTTTGCTCCTGGAGATGCTGACCCCAGCCATGGTCTCGGGTCACAGCTGGCGTCCCTGCAACACTAGGGTCCCAAACAAGGTCTCTTTGTTTCTGCCACTGGTAGTGGGAATTCCAGACCTAAGTAGGGCCAACGCTGCCCCCATGGCTACCCCAGCCTGTGTTGTCCTCGTGGAGCTGCATGCTATCATCTGATCATCATCCGTCACCAGCAGCCTTTGCAGGGCTCTGTCGAGCTGGGGCCTGCTCCTTCCCAGCAGGTGTCCTTGCTGGCCTGTGAGGTGTCCTGGGTGGATCTCTGTCACTCTGGGTCTTTGAAACCAGGTTAGTTATGTGGAGGCAGAGTGGTGGCGGACAGCCGTGGCCTTCAGTGATCTCAGCCTGAGCCGTGGCCCTGCATTGCAGGACGATGGTATCACCAGTCAGTCTCTTCCGGTCCCCAGGGGCCAGTGCATTTGGGCGGCAGGGGGCCAGGACTCTCTTCTTCCCCTCTTGGAGAGAAGTGGGTCTCAGCCTGGTCCCTGTGGCTGCTTCATGGCCATGTGCCGTGGTCCTCCTGCGCCCCTAATGTCCGGGTCCGACCTGCCCCAGGGAGCCTTTCCTCAGTGGCGCCCCTGTTTTGAGTGCCATGTTCTTCACATACCCTACCCCATGGGGTTACCTGGGGGAGCCCGGAAGTGGGGTGGCCCTGTGTGTTGCTCAGCTCCTTGGGGCCTGGGCAGTTCTGGTGCTGAGCTGTGGTACTGGAGAGTGCCGGCAACAGGCTTCTGACCCAATCCACCGCCACTGAGAGGCCAGGGGCGCCGTGTGTCACCTGGGATCAGCCTGGCTGAGCTAAGGACAACCCTGGGGCCATGGGCCAGGTGCACGCGCTACTGAGCCACGCAACCTAGAACACCCTCTGCCCAGGTGCTTAGGGTCTGGTGTGGAGCCGCTGGACAGAATTGCGGACCTCTTCAGCAGGGCCACCGGCACACGCTCGGCCCTTTGACTGCAGGGTTCACACTGTGGTGTCTGTCAAGCCAGGTTCCAGCCTGGTAGGAGATTAGAGAGCAGATCCTGGTGGGGCCCCTGCTCCTCCGAAGAAGCCCCATACCCCCCACCTCTCCTCCAGGCCCAGGGCAGCTACGTCCCCAGGACCCCTCCTCTTGCTGGCTGGACCCTCAGCAGCCAGGTGTCCCTACTGTGGCCGTTCCTGAGTTCAGTTTATTCCTTTGTTCATTCCTGCCCTGCCTCCCTGCTGGCTGCTCCCTGGTGTGGCTGGCGGCAGCTTCCAGGGATGTGGGCGCAAACTGAGCCTGACTTCAGGTGTCATCGTGGTGGGTGGGCAGGGCTGCTGACACCACGCAGGGCAGGGGTATGGGGGTGGCAGCAGAAGCCCTGGGGGGCACCACAAATGCAGGGGTGACTGTTGCTGAGGTCCTGATGTGCAGAAGTAGGGGTTGGGGCCGCACCCGGGACTACACCTCCTCCCCAACTCAGGGCCAGGTGTCCACGCTTGGTCCTGTCACACCTATAGGACCTCTTCCAGGAGGGCTCTGCCCGCCTTAGGTGGAAGCCCACACTGTCCAGCTCCCCGCGGAAGCCAGCTGCTCAGGGCGGCTGCTTTGCTTCTGTGTACTTCATCATTCCCGAGTTTCTGGTAGTGGTTACGCACGGTCACTTCACTCTAGGAAGTCTGTACCCACGCGAGGCCTACATTTCGGTTCCCCTCCCTCAGCCTCTCCTCCTCCTCCTCCTCCACAAAGCTTTGTTTCCATTTTCCCTTTTCTCATTCTTCCCTTCCTTTCTTTCGCCCTTCCCCCTCCCCAGTTTCACTTTTCTTTTGAACAATTTCTTCCCCCTTCACAATATCCATTGTACATTTTGGTCCTTATTTACATTTTCAGATTTTTACCAAACAATGTGATATTTGCACATATATGTCTAATTTATTTCACTTAAGAGTATGGTCTCAAGAGGCATCCATTTACCTAGACGTGTCTCAAGCTTATCCTTCATGACTGAGTAGTACTCCGTTATATTAAAAAAACGCCACATCTTTATCCATTCATCAGTTGATGGGCATTTGGGCTATTTCCAAAATTTAGGTATTTCAGTCTGTACTACGACAAACATGGGTGCATATATTTTTAATTCTTTGGGAAGATACCCAAAAGGGGAATAGCTGATTTGAATGGGACCTCTGGTCCTAGTTTTTTGAGGACTCTCCACACTGATCTCCATAGTGATTGCACCAGTCTACACTCCCAGCAACAGTGGAGAAGGGTTTCTTTTCCTCACAGCCCCTCCAGCATTTGTTATTGATTTCCTGATCACAGCCATTCTTTCTGGGGTGAGTTAGAATCTCAGTGTTATTTTAATTTGCTTCTCTCCAATGATCAGTAATGTTGAACACTTTTCATATATTTATTTGCTGTTTCTACTTTCTCTGAGAGGTGTGTGTGCATTTTAGATGCAATTTTTGGATTGGATCTTAAATTTGGGAGGTCCTTTTTTTTTTTTTTTAGTTCTTTATATAGTCTAAATAGTAATCCTTTAGGGGCTGGGGATTTAGCTCAGTGGCATAAGCACCTGCCTTGCAAGCAGGCGGTCGTGAGTTCAATCCCTGGTACCGGTAAAAAGGAAAAAGGCAAAAAAAAAAAAAAAAAAAAAAAAAAATAGTAATCCTTTGCTGAGGAACAGCTGGCAAACATTTTCTCCCACATCATGGGTCGTCTCTTCACTCTGTTGGTGGTTTCTCTTGCTGTGTAAAAGCTTTTTAATAAGATGAGATCACAGTTGTTGATTCTTTGTGATATTTCCTGTGTGATTGGGCTTTTGTACTTAAAGTCTTTGCCTAGTTGGGGACTGTGATGCCCCCTGCCTTGCCTTTGTTGCCCAGAATTGCTTTGCTGTTCTAGGTCTCTTCTGGTTCCAAGTGAATTTTAGGATTGTCTTCTCTAATTCTGTGAGCTATGCTCCTGGAATTCTTTGGTGTTTAGTTTCTGAAGCCCGTGACATGTGCTTATTGTAGAAGAGTTGTCAGTGGACACATTTGTGGGACATTTGCAGCAGATGAGGTGCAGATCATGTGGCCCAAAATGATTGTCTGGGGCTGGGGATTTAGCTCAGGGGATGCAGTATGGCTTCGAGAACAGCACAGGTCCCTTAAAGAGCCGCGTAGCACCACGGACAGCCAGCCATCCTGTCCCCGCCCAGCCCCCGAGCCCAGGCCAAGCTGGGGGCTGCACACCGACTCTCCTATCCCCCACAGAACATCCGGGCGCTGATGGGTGTAGAGAAGACCAAGGGCTTCTGCCAGCTGGTGGTGTCCTCCAGCCTGCGGGACGGCACGTCCCACCTGATCCAGTCGGCAGGCCTGGGCGGCATGAAGCACAACACAGTGCTCATGGCCTGGCCCCAGGCCTGGAAGCAGGCAGACAACCCCTTCTCCTGGAAGAACTTTGTCGGTGCGTGTGGCCCTGCCACCCCACCCCATCCCCAGCATCCTGGCCAGACACTGTCTTACTTGTCCCTAGCTCCACGCCCCTGGTCCTGAGGCCACAGCCTTGGGGACCACCAAAGGCTGGAGCTACTGTCACTGAAGGGCAGGGCATCTGGAGAGGGGTCACACTGTGAGGGTTGAGCCCTCAGGTCTGTGATCCATCCATCCTTGAGCAACCCGCCCCTGCCACCTGTCCCTGCAGACACCGTCCGCGACACTACGGCTGCGCACCAGGCCCTGCTGGTGGCCAAGAACATCGATGCGTTCCCCCAGAACCAGGAGCGGCTGGGCGAGGGTCACATTGACGTGTGGTGGATTGTGCACGACGGCGGCATGCTCATGCTGCTGCCATTCCTGTTGCGCCAGCACAAGGTGGGCCTCGGGGGCCGGGCTGGGCACAGGCACAGGAGCTTGCTGGGCCCCGAGTGACCACACTGCACCCCCAGGTGTGGCGCAAGTGCCGGATGCGCATTTTCACAGTGGCCCAGGAAGCCGACAACAGCATCCAGATGAAGAAGGACCTACAGATGTTCCTGTACCACCTCCGCATCAGCGCCGAGGTCGAGGTGGTGGAGATGGTGCGTGAGGCCACGGGGAGGCGGGGGCAGCGTGACAGCCCGTGTGCCCTCTAGATGACTTCTGTGTGGCTTGGGACCCCAATGTGTGGTCTCCCCAGCTGGTCACACTTCCCTGTTCCCAGTGCTGTCATCTGTGGGAGCTGAGCACCACCCCAACGGTGGTCACTGCTGCAGTGGCCTGTGGTGCTGGACATGGGGTGCCCCTGAACCCAACAGCTCTGTGCTGCGTCGTTGTGCATCTGGTTGGTTGCTCCCGGTTCCTGTGGTTATGGCTAGAGCTGCCGCAGGACACAGCCCGGGGTACCTGCTGCCCTCCTGGCAGTGATGTGGCAGTATAAGAACACTGCACTGTGGTGGCCTGTTGTCCATGCCTGTCTCTCTGACCATCATAGGGCTGGACAGTTGTGTGCGTCACCTGTGGCCTAGGGCTGCTCCCTCCTGCCTAGCCTAGGCCTGCTAGCATGGGTCACGTGGACCAGTCTCAGTCCTTGCAGGCTGGCCCAGGACCTGTTATTTGTGGCCTAGCTTGAGATCCCGGCCGTGGTGACCCAGCGACAAGCTGCCTGGGAACAAACCCTGGGTGTGGGAGGTGACCAGTGCGGCTGCAGGGCAGCAGGGACAGCCCGAGGCCGGGTGAGGTCCCTGCACCTGGAGCCTGTGGTGTGCATGGGTTGGGCCCTGTGCCAGCTGCCCTCCCTACCCAGGCCCTGCTCTGGTGACATCATCAGAGCTATGGTGCAGGCTGACTGGCCATTTGCTGGAGCTTTCTGTTACTCCAAGGGCAGCGATTGGGGACTTTTGGTGGCTTTGACTTCTGTTGGTGACAAATTGTCCCGAATTTGGCAAAGGATGCCTGTTACATATGAGTGTGCCTTGAGGTGCCACTTGTGTGGCACGACCAGAATACTGTGTCCGGAACCCGGGTGTCATGTGGTAGCACGTGGTTGAAACATTGGAGGAGGTGAGTGTGTCCACTTATGACACTAACCTCACATTCTGGCACCACTACCACTGAGCGAGGCGTCTAGGCCCCTGAGGGAGGGCAAAGAGGTCAGGACATATGGCATCCACACCAGGGGACAGTGGACACAGTGGATGGGGATGGTGGCGAGGCCGTTTGTGCCCCCTTTCTGCAGGTGGAGAATGACATCTCCGCGTTCACCTACGAGAAGACGCTGATGATGGAGCAGAGGTCCCAGATGCTGCGGCAGATGCAGCTGTCGAAGACTGAGCAGGAGAGAGAGGTGCGGGGAGCCCAAAACCAGGCCCTGGGAAAGAGCTGGGCAGGGACCCGAGCCCCCACTCGTGTCCCCATCACTGCATGTCCTGCCCTCCTGTGTGTGACTCCATCGTCCCCTTGTCCCAGGTACCCTGAACCTTGGTCCCTTTGGGAACAAGGCCTGGCCTGGGAATCGAGGGCTACTTAAGTCGTGGGTTCAGGCCACTGTAAGGTTCTCCATTCCCCTGTCCTCCTAGGCGGCTGCAGACCCGTCCTGTGACCAGCCCTGTCCCTGGAGCCCCAGCAGGGTGTCTGTCCCCACGAGGCCTAGAGATGGGGCCAGTGGGCAGCTGTATGGTGGGGTGGGAAGGTGTGGTCTCAGGCCACCTGCAGGGAGAAGACTCTCGTGGCCTGTCCCTTTGTCCCGTGGCTCTCAAGGCAGGGGCAGTTGGACCATGCAGGACAGGTGGAATACTGTGCCCAGGGATTGGCAGTTGGGGCAGTACCAGGGTCCATGTGGTGGCCTGCAGGCTCTTCCACCAGCTGGACACGTGAGTGCCTCTCCTGGGGGCTATGCAGAGCCCCCAGCTGTGCTGAGTCCACTCCCCTGTATCCCCCAGGCCCAGCTGATCCATGACCGGAACACTGCGGCCCACGCCGCGGGGGCCACCAGGAGCCAGGCCCCGCCAACGCCAGATAAGGTGCAGATGACCTGGACAAAGGAGAAGCTGACTGCAGAGAGGCACAAAGACAAGAGTGCAGGCAGCGCGGCGGGGTTCAGGGACCTCTTCAGCCTGAAGCCGTGAGTGTCTGCCTTGTGGCCTACAGGTCCAGCAGCCCAGGAGTCCTCCTATAGTTTGGGGGCGCTGTATGCAGCAGGGTGAGGCCTCGCACAGCTGGGGTGTCCTGAAGGAGCCCTAGCTCCCCTGGCCCGGGGCTCCAGCTCCTATCCTGCCGGCAACTCGGCCACTCATGTTCCCCAAGACCCCAAGACCGGCCAGGGTCTCCAGAGCCACAGGGAGTGGATGTGGTGCATCCCAGTCTCCCCTGAGGCCCCGCCCTGGTCCAGGGTCCGAAACCACTTCTCAATCCAGTCTTGGGGGTGGGTGCTGGGTGGCACGAAAGTGCCCTACCCCAGCAAACAGGGTGGGGCGCGTCTTTAGAGGTGCCCTGTCCCGGACTAACCTGCCCTCTGTTCTCTCGCTGCGGAGGGAATGGGGAGGCCTGTGAGTCTGAGCCCCGCCTGCTGCCCTGTGCCTTCCCCTGCACGTATGCCTGTGCTCAGCCTTGCGTGAGCGCCTGTCCACCTGCTCCCTGCACCTGAATCGGGCGGGTTCGTGGGAGTGTTTCTGGCATGCAGTGCTGGCCAGGGGTTGCAGGCAGCCTTGGCAATTCTGGCAAAAGCCCTGCTCCATGTCCAGTCCTGGACGCTCATCCTCTTATTGATTCCCATGGCTTGCAGAATGCCAGGGACACTGCTTGCCCTCTTCCACCTGTGCCCAGGACCCGAGCAGGGCCAGACCTGGGCTGTGTAGTTAGGGCCATGTGTGAGTTCCAAGCCCTCAGCTCTTTGCTGGCCTTCAGGGTCACATGCAGTTCTAGCCACTTGGGGACAGTGGTTTCCCCAGGCAGCAGATACGGGGCTCTAAGGAAAGCCCATTTTGGGGAGCCCCCAGTCCTATGACTGTCAGGCTGAGTTGGTGTGAGGACAGTGGCCCTTTGCCCTGGCTTCCTCCTGATACCATGTAGTCCCACCCAGGCCAAACCCTCAGCTTAGGCTGAGTGGGCACACACAACGTCCAGGGACATCTTTGGGTACCCTTGACCCACACCTCATGGCCCACTTCTGTTGTCCCTGCATTGAGGCACAAGAGCTCCATAGGAAGGGCTATGGTGAAACTGGTGGTGGTGGGCTGGCCATGACCCTGTCCTGTGGCTGCAGTGTCCCCAGATGAGCAGGTTTTCCCGAGCCGGAAGCTCAAGTGGGCTGGGGGTAGTGCTGTGCAGCAGGCTTCCCGGGCAACTTCCTGGGACAGCAGTCCCACTAGAAAGGCTCCTTAGGGCACCGTGGGCACCTGCCTGGGGACACGTAGAGCGATGAGACAGCCAGGTGTGTGTCTGCATGCCCATGTGTCCCGGCAGTGCCGATCCGAGTGGCTGTGATCTTTCCTGGCATTGTGCTGGGCACAGCCACTTTGAGTTTGAGGCGGGAGCTGCTCCACTTTCCCCGTGGGCTGCAGGTGGGGCCAGGACCGCAGCAGCCAAGGCAGCACTGGCCTCTGCAGCCTGAAAGCTGCATCTCGGGTACCGTCGGGCAGTCAGGGTTGGGTATGCCGGGGACTTCATCAGGGACAACCCAGACCACAGTGGCCCTGTGCTCTCCTGTCTGGCAGCCAGGCTGGGCCCTCTTAGACTCCTGTTACCCCCATTCTCTGTGGACTCAGCGTGCTCTGCAGCTGCTCGGCGCTTCCAGCTTCTCAGGCCCTGACTGAAGCTGCTGCTCACTGCTGAGCAGGTCACCAGGAGCCCGCCCGGGTTCAGCCTACCCTGCTGCTGGCATGTGTGGGCACCATGGTGGTGGGCACAGCTGCAACCCACGCCGCCAGCACTGCGTCCTTGTGCCCCCAGGGACCAGTCCAATGTCAGGAGAATGCACACAGCCGTGAAGCTGAACGGTGTCGTCCTGGCCAAGTCCCAGGATGCCCAGCTGGTCCTGCTGAACATGCCGGGGCCTCCCAGGAACCGGCAGGGTGATGAGAACTGTATCCTTTGGTGCAGCCCGGGGGCGGTGAGTGGATAGTGTGACCCAAACCTGCCTCATGGGTGCAGCCCGCCACCCTCCGGGACCGGGGTAACAGTGACCAGGCCAAGCCTGCAGGCCTGTCACAAGCAGCAGCCCTGCCCCGCCCATGCCCTCCCAGGGTCCCCTTCCTTCCTCTGCACCAGTTTGCCCCGTGAGTGACGCCTTTCTTGCCCACAACCAGGGACCACTGGCCTTAACTCCACACCCAGACATGGAGTTCCTGGAGGTCCTGACTGAGGGGCTGAACAGGGTGCTCTTGGTCAGGGGCGGCGGCCGCGAGGTCATCACTATCTACTCCTAAGGCCAGTGCTGCCAGGCGGGCGAGTGCCGTGCTCTGAGGTGCCAGCAAGACCAGTGTGTGGCCTCCTTTGGGACCCCTCTCTGAAGAGGCCTGGGCAGCACTGGGGAGACAAGGTGGGGCTGGTACAGGATCTATACTCCTTGGGGGCTGTCCAGTGTCTGGGCAGTTGCCGCCCACTCCCACCTAGGGCACTCACCACATGTACTGCACTGGGGCTGAGGACCACTGCCCTCCCCGTGTTGGTTCTGCCCTGTCCATACCCACCCAGAAGAGAGCAGGCATGAGGATGCAGGCCCCGGCATCAGGGCAGCGCATGGCCCACAGGGTCGGGTCCACAGTACTGACAGGGCACAAATGCCAAGGTTTCCCATGTTGCCTAAGACAGCAGCGCCCCCCACTGCCCTGCTTGAGAGGCACCATTTCACTCCTTGCCCTCCAGAAAGGCCAGGGCTGTCTCTGGCCAGAAAATGCTGGCCAGATGCTCTCACCATGTCCCCATGTCCCCATCTGGGACAGGCTATTGGTACCTCAAGGGCCACACACAGTTTGCACTTTACCTTTGAGCTTTCTGCTTTGTAGGTCACAGTCCTGGGTCACAGCAGTGATTGGTGCCTTGCTCTCTGCAGAGTGTATTTATTTATTTAAATAGTGGGGGGTGGCACCCTGTTAATCACATTTATGTGGGAAGCCCAGGGCCACACACAGCCTTCATGGCATCCAGGTTCCCCCAGAAAATTGGCTGTGGCACGAGGGGCCAGGTCAGACAGTGGGCTAGTGGGCTGTGTGTCCAGCCAGCACGGTGAACCCTGCCTACTTTGCTGGGCCTTGGCCCAGGGTAGAGCAGGTGGCTCCCAGTCCGGTTCCGGAGCCTGGCTTGTGAGGTCGCGTGCCCGCCCCGGGAGCCCTTGCTGTGGCTGTTCAGTCTCCCGTCCACATTCTCCTTTTACAGCTCCATGTCTTTGTACAATTTTGTTAGTGGAATAAAGTCCTGTGGAATCTGAGTGGCTGCAGAGAACCACATACTCCCCTTCCCCTCTTAGAGATGACTGCAGGCCAGGTGGACCATACCTGCCACACATGCACCCAGATCACAAGCAATGCAGAGCAGTACACTCAGTTCTGCTGAGTGAGAAGTGGCCCAGCTTGTACTGGTGCTGGATGGAACCTGGAGCCTCCCATGCCTGGCAGCTTTGCCCCTAGCATCACCCTGTGCTTTATCAAGGGGCAGGAGCACCACCTGGGACATCACCAGTGGGCAGCTCACACCTCACCCTGCTGAGGCTGTGATTGAGGCAGGGACAGCAATCCAGGGAGTGGGGACCAGGACCCTGGTGCCAGGGGAGAAAGGGTGCAGCACATAGGGACAGCTGTGGTTCCCAAGCTGTCTTCACCAGAAGCTGCATGGGCACCTGGCTCCACCCTCTTCCAGAGCACTGGATGTGCCCATAGTGTCCAGGGCTGGAAGGCCAGATGTCGGTGCTTGTGGGTAGGACCACAGGATGTCAGGCCCAGCAGGTCAGTGGTGAGGGCAGGCAGGGTGGGGAGATACTGGGACTCAGCACCCTCCAGCCGTGCTTGCTGGCTGTGTTGGCCTGAATAGTACTGGCAGCTCAGAGCTGTGAGCTTGGTCGTCTGGCACTGCACTGGGCCTATTGTGGGGGGCCTTGCCTCAGAAGCAGGTGACAGAGGAGGCTGGGGCAAGAGGCCCAGGCAGTGCCTGAGCTGAGGGTAGGAGGCGAAGCCCTGAGGAAGAGACACTGGAGATACCTTGTCCCACTACAAGGCCGCCCAGCAGGCAGCCCACTTCTATTGTAAAGAGCACATGGCCTGTGGCTGTCCTGCCTGGCCAAGCCTGCCCTCCCATAACCTGTCAGGAGCACCTTCTTGGTCTACAGTATGGGTCTCCCGGGCCAGGCCAAGCTGGGCGCCCAGAGGCTGTCCTGTCTACTTGTGGGGGCCACATACAGGCTTCCTGTGGGCCATATGGGTCCACCTCCATGCTGGACCCCTTGCATTGCAGTAAGTGATGTGCTGTCTTCAAGGTCACCCTGAAGGGGAGGCTGTCACACACAGAGTGCTGAGGATGGCAGGTACCCACTGATGGTTAGGGCAGGATAGTGCCCACTGACCCTCAGCCCCTACACCAGCTGGGCCCTGGCCCTGGGATGCTGGGGGCTATCCAGCCTATGGCATCATTGAGAAGCAGGCAGGTGATGGTGTCAGCAGAACCTGGTGCCAGGTGGGCTAATACACCAGGACTCCTTCAGTGGGATCCCTGCCCACGCATGAGGCCCACCCCATGCCAGATAGTCAGGTCCAGTCAAAAGGCTGGCTGGGCACTACATGGGGAGCACAGGCCCTGGGACCCAGCTCTCCTGAGCAGAGGGGTGTCACTCACAGGAGAGGCTGGATGTGCAGAAGCCTGAGGGACACTGAGCATTAGGCACACAGGCGAGCTTGCTCTTGTCTCTTGGCTCCTGCTTGCTGCCCTGAAGCAGCACAGGACCTGGGACAGCACCTGGCTGCCCGTGGTCGCAGCTGCATCTGGGTTTATGTGTCAGGTTCTGGGGTTTCACAGAGCAGCACTATGGGTCCACATGAGTGTGCCCGCTCTTCAAAGCTCACGCCTGCGCCACCGTGGTGGGGGAACAGTGCACGTAGCAAAGCCTGTTGTGACAGTGCAGCGGGTTACCAGATACAACCTTCATCCTGCCTGCAGTGCCCCCCTGGCCATCAGTCTGCTGAACGTTAAAAGACTGCAAGAGGCAAACAGTCACCTGCCTGCTGCCTCCTGCCTCTGTGGAACCCACTGGGCCATGCACTGCGGGGCCCCTCTACCACCAGCCCTCACAGAGGAGGACACTGGGGAGGCCTTGCGGCCACACATAAGTGGCCTAAGTCTGGGCCCTTTGCCTGGATGAACATCACCCCAGGTCTGGCAACCGACCACAGCCTGCACACTGTGTCCCTGTGCTGTGCCCCAACTGCAAAGATGCTAGGGACCCGGGGCTCCCCAGCTGCCTGCTGGCTCTACAGCCGCTGCCACGATGCTGTGTCTGAGCTTGGAGCCACGCACATGGGTCTGGGAGATGCAGCCCGTGGGGAACCACCCCCAAGTTTCATAAGGAACAAACATGGGAAGCTTCAGCCCCTTACCCACTTTTGGCCCCGTGGGGAGCCCATAGCCCTTGAAAGAATGAGAATGGACTGCCACGCCCTGGACACTGCGGACATGTGGACAGACATGGTGGGTTTCCACATGCATTGCTTCCCGTTGGGCACTGTGCTCCTGCCTCTACGGCATGGAGGACGTGCCGGAAGAAGGCCGGGCACACAGTGTCCATCCTGGCATCGTCCCTGCTCTGCCCACCTGGTGTCTGAGCCTGGCATCAGGTCGGGGCACCAAGCTCCATGCCTGCCCAAGGGCACGTGGCATCCCTCACTGGGTGTAGCAGGCACTAGGCTGGGTGGAAGTGGTGGTGGTGGTGGTGGTGGTGGTGGTGGTGGTGCTCGTGGTGGTGGTGGTGTTCATGCCGCTGGACCACGGGCACCACACAGCCCTCAGTACCCAGTCCAGGTGGCAAGTCCCGTGCGACCTCGTGCTCCACTGCAGCAGGCTGGCTGTGCGTGCCCTTGAGTGGTGAGTGGCCCTCCCTGCCCTTCTGCCGTGGCCGCCTGTGGCCATGAGACTGTGGCAGGGGTGGCGGTGGAGGCTGGCCCGGGTGGTGGCCACTGTCTTGGGCAGCCTGTGATGGTGTGGTGGCTGGCAGGTAGTAGCTGAGGGCTCTGCCCGGCTTCCCGCTGCCCAGTGCCCCAGGCGGCTTCCCAGTGCCCTTGGGGGACCTGAGGAATGGCTTCTCTGGCCCCTTCAGTCGAGGCTGCACATCCAGACTTCGGGCAGCAGGCTCAGCAAGCGTGGCGTGGTCAGCCAGCACCTGGGAGCGGCGGTGGTGCACGACGTGGGAGTCGGGCTCCTGGGAGCGGGAGCGGCTCTGGGGGTATGCAGCCTTGCCGGGGTGCTCCTGCCTGGCCTGCTCAGGTGGCGACCCTGCAGTGGGGTGGATGTGGGCCTGGCTGAGGCTGAGGTCAGGGCGTCTGGGTGCTCTCGTCTTGACAGAACCCAGGGACAGGTCACCCCTGGCTTCCTCCCCAGGGTTGGCTTGGGGGCCAGGTACACCTGGATGACTGTGAGCCCCCAAGAGAGTAGGGACAGGAATGGAGAGCTCGACCTATACCTGCCTGGCTCTACCACCCCCAGCTTTGGGTCCCATGGGTGGACTTCTGCCCTTGGGCCTATGTGGGACTCAGGACCGAGAACTGCATCCCCTTGGGAAATGTAACTCTCCCCACACCCATATTCTAGAAAGGCTTAGTGGCAAAGACCCGGCCAGATCAACGTTGGTCAGCCTCATGGGCCTGATCCGGAGCTCTGCAAGCATCTAGAACAGACATGAGGCAGTGTCTGCACTGTCACATGGTCCGGCCTGTGGGGACGCTGGGCAGGTGACAAGCACTCCCACCATGGCCCCAGGGTGCAGCCAGTTATGGCTCAGAACTCCTGAGGCCACCAGGGGCCGAGGTCAGGAAGGAACATGGTGGGCAGGCCTGTTAGCATCCACACTGCTGACCCCCAGACCCCTCAATGACCTTTTCCTCCTGTCCTGAGACATCACTCCCCAGAGGGGTTCACCAGATCCAGGTGCCCCTCACTTGCCTCCCTAGACACCGACACCTCGCATGTGCTGGGAGGCGACCCCTGGCTGTGTAGGTGCCAGCACAGTGTGGATGTCAGACCCCAGGCCGAAGGAAGGAGCCTGCTCAGGGGTATGCCAGGGTCCGTGGCCCTGGGGATACAGCCAGGGTGGAGTTCCTCTGGACTTACCAGGGCCAAACTTGGAGGTGTAGTTTTCGATTCCAGCGAGGTCCAGGTAGTGGTTCCTACGCTCAGTGTTCTCGTCCACGCAGTAGGGACCCCGCACGGGACAGGGGCGGGGGTCACCACTGGGCCTCCTGTGTGAGCAAACGAGGAACTTGAGCCCCAGCCTGTGGCTAGAGCCTCACTGTGCCGATGGCGATGATGCAGAGAGCCCCAGCACCCACCCCTGCCTGGCAGGGGGAACGTCTGTGGACAGCAACTCGGGGCTGGGCCCACAGCCAGTCACAGAGGCCCACCTAGTATCTCAGCCAACAGCCTAGGGTTTCAGAGAGCCCTGGGATGTCATCAGGTTCCTGCTGGGACCACAGTGGCCACTGCTCTGTCACTGTGCTAGCGGGGAGCAACCCAGACACCGCTGCCTGTCAGAATCTCCCCGTCTCTCAGTAGAGCTGGGGTGCTTGGCTGCCCTATGGCACACAGTGCCCAGCCCCCACGCCCATGTCCATCTCAGGGGGTCAGCTTGAAAGGACCCGGGGCACACAGGACACAGCCCACCTGCTACCCTTGCCTGGCACACCTGATGTGGGCAGAGAGCCTCTTGTCGGCCCCCCGGGGGTCCTCGGCCAACTCAGTGTCCGTCCTGCTGTGCATAGGCTCCCGGTCTGAAAGGGGGGTCCACATGGCAGCTCTTAAACTTAGCCACCCATTCCCCATCCACAGTTATGCACACGGCCGTGCTTCCATCCACCCACCCATCCATCCATCCATTTAATATCCATCTGCCCGCCCACCCGACCATTCACCCATCCAGACCCATTCATCCAGACATCGCCCATCCATCCACTCAGTCTTCATCACTCGTCATGTGACCCTTGACTCAGCCACCCTTCTGCTCTCTAAGCAGACCATGCTGAGCTCTGCCAAACCAGCCCTACTGTGTGGCCAGAGAGGTTTTCAGAGAAAGACTGCATGTGGTGAAGCACTTAGAGGGCCAGGATGGTGCAGGAGCCATGTGGGGCGGCAGGCGACTTGGAGGGGGACCATCCTGGGTGCACTCAAGGGGACAGAACTGTCATGGGGGCAGCTCTCGCCCTGGGCCCTCACCCTGGCTGGCAGGATTCTCCTTCTGGGAGCCTGCAGGCTCGGGGCTCACGGTCAACTTCACACGGAGGGTCTTGCTGCTGCCTGAAGAGTGGTTCATGGAGGCATCCACAACCTCATAGATGGTGTGCATCAGGCTAGACATGTCCTGGGATGACACAGCAGACCTCAGAGGAACACTGCCCATCTGAGGCTGCCTGGACTCCATTCTCCTCATGTCTCAGGTGAGGGCCCCGAGGGCCTCATCCTGGCCGGGGTCATCCTGAGGATGCCTGCAAGTTCATGTCTCTGACCCTTTACATCCCAGCATTGATGTGCAAAGGCGGTCGGACCGTACCGGACTGCCTTTTGTCAGACACCCCCCCACACACACATGTTAGCACCCCATCTCCCACTGCCTGCTTCTTGTCAGGGGCCCATACCATCCTGGACGCAGGGCCTGGCTGAGCAGGGGACCCTCGGGGCCTGGGCTGCCTGTGAGGGTGCTGGGTTACCAGCATGCGGACATCACCCTTGAGGACACACGGTGGGCCCCCTGGCTTGTGCCTCCTTCCTGCCCCAGCCCCCGTCCATCCCGCATTGTGGAGATGGGGCATCACTATCTTGCCCGGCTGCACTGGGCAGGTGATTCTTCCAGACCTCGAGTCCCCAGCCCACTCTCCATAGATGCATGGCGCGTTACCTCCCTGGTGATCACCCCACTGTTGTCAAAGTCGTAGAGCGTGAACGTCCACTCCTGGCGGTTGCCCTCCTCCACTGAGATGTCACACTGGAGGGCCTGCAGGTGCAGTAGGATGAGGACTGGAGTCTCCCCTCGGCCCAGGCGTCTGCGTACCCCATGGACTCAGGGACCCACCACCCAGATGCCTTCCTATGGCATCTCCCTTGGATGGGGTGAAGTCTCCCCAGCTTCCAGCCTGTAGCCAGGAAAAGGCACCCCAGGGTGGTGGCCTGACACCTCCAGATCCATCTTCACCCGACGCCATCCTCCCCACCTCGATGCTGTCTCTGCCCATGCCAGTGCTTGGTGTCACCCAGAATGAGAAGAGGCCACACGCCTGTGAGGCTCCAGTGCCAGAGACCCCAGCTGAGACCCAGGGACAAGGCTGAGACCTACATCAATGTTCAGGCGCCTCCTGGCCCCTTCTCGCGGACCCTCACGGGCTGGTGCCCTCTCGCCATCATCCACGATGAGGAGCTGTCCTGGGCTCTCATGGCCCTCGGCTTTCTCGGAGGGCAGAGCCACTGTGGGGATGACAGGGGGTAAGGGACAGGCCAGCCCAGGGGTAAGGGAAAGTGGATGCTGCCTCCTGTGCCCAGCTGCTGACCCCTGCAGAGGTCCTGAGGGGAGAGCCCATTGCTGTGAGTGAGGATACCACAAGGGATCCTCAGCCTGGCCATCCCCCAGGGCCGGTGCCTTGCACAGCAGCTTCCAGGAAGCAGCCCAGGCCTGGGGCAAGGGTGCCTGACCCTATTTTGCAGGCGGAGGTGGGGTCCCAGCACTGTCAACCCCACCCACCCACTTCCCAGGAGTCCTCAGCCCAACACTGCTCCACACCACTGCAAGCCAAGCTCCTAGAGGTGCAGCCTCCTGTCCCCAAGCTGTGGTTAAGCCATGTCCCCAGGAGAGGAGTCTGGCCATCCGGCAGCTGTGCATCCTGGCCTGCATTCTTGTGGCAGGGGGTCTGGAGCCCCTCAGCTCTGGTAGCTGTCTGCTGGCCACCCTGCTGGCTATCCCCAGACCCAGACCCAACCCACGGATGGCCGTGGTGACCTGTTCCTCTACAGGGGGACTGACTGTACCAAGGACAACATGGACAGCAGTGACCCAGGGCCTGGCAGGCCACCACTCCCTCAGCACACAAGCTCAGCCCTGGGGGCCTCCTGCCCAGACACAGGTTCCCAAGACTCCAGCCGTGATATAAGCCAGCACCAGGGACCCTGCTTGACCTCTGTGTCACTGATGGCCGGGTCCAGCTCATATCTGGTATACAGCCTGGCTCATGTGTGCATGTGGGAGGACAGAGGACAGAGGCATGAGAGGCAGGAGGAGCAGCTGCAGAGGCCAAGCTCACCTTCTAGGGGGCCCTGATTTTCGTGGAAAGGCCTCTCCTTAGCGTCCTCACTGAGCAGCTCCTGCAGGAGGACAGAGTGGTGAGTGACTCAGACTCAGCTGGGCAGACAGACAGGAATGTTTCTGCAGGCCTCGGTGACAAGAACCCCAGCCCCAACCTCACGCAGAACGCAGACACTCCACCGTCAGCCTCATGCAGAACACTCCTTCAGGACCCGCTATGGCTGCCTGCATGGCACCCTGCCCCCTGCTCCACCAGCCTGCAGAACCCCCTCAGATATGTCCCAAGCTTCCCAGGACCATGGCACTGTCCCATGGAGCCGCTGAGGGGGCACCACCTCCTCCCAGGCCAGGCTGAAGTGCAGGGCTGCCAGCTACTAGGAGTGGATCTTAAGACAGCTTATGGAAAGACTTCAAACACACTCAAGCAATGCTTTACCCAAGAAAATGTGCACAGCACGAGCTCACATGGTTCCCATCAAGACTGACAGGCACACAGGACATAGAGGAAGAAACAGGAAGTGTGCAGAAAGCTGTGGAGCAGGAGCCCCAGATGCACGCTTGAGGTGAGCTTATGGAAAGTGCTCTGTATCAACTTGAGACCCCCTGTCAGCTGGACACTGGCAGCTTTTATGACAATGCAAGAAGTGGAGGTGCAGGGGCACAAGGGTCTGAGACGCGGATGTGATGGGTGGGCTGGACTGGATTTCACATCCTGACCCCAGCTGCCCATGCCCTTCCCACCATGTGACACTCAAGCTAATTTTAATCACCTGAGCACCGCTTTTGGAATCTTGCATTGGTTACAGAGCATGGGAAAGACACGGGGCACAGACAGACACAGGAAGGAGAGGCAGAGGAGCTCCACATAGAGCTCAGTGAGGCCCTGGGCACAGTGCCCAGCACCACAGGAGAAAATCTGCGTGGACTGGAGTCACCTCCCAGACACATTCCCAGCACTAAATAACCAGCTTGCCTGCAACCACTGACCAGAGCTGCACTAACCAGCCGCTGCTACAGTAACCACCCAGGGCTACTATAACCAACTAATACTGCTTTACTACTACCATAACCAGCCAGTGCTGCCATTACCAACCATGGCTACAACAACCAATCAACCAAGGCTGCTGTAACCAACCAGGGCTATGCTAACCAACTGCTGCTACAATAACCACCAAGGGCTACTATAACCAATCAGTGCAAGCATAACCAACCATGGTTACAACAACCAAGCATGGATACCTAACCAACTACTGCTACAGTAACCACCCAGAGCCCTACAATCAACCAGTGCTGCTATAACTGACCAGGGCCACAACCACTGCTACAGTAACCATCTGTGGCTACAGTAAGCAGTGAAGTCTGTGATAACCAATCAGTGCCGCTACATCCACCAGGGTCTCTATAACTAACAAAAGTTTCTGTAACTGACCAAGCTTTCTATACAGACCAGGGTTGTTGCTGCTGGCCAGGGCCACGCTAACCACCCTGAGCCCTGCCGCACCCTCCCAGGCTAGCAGTGGCTCCTTGTGCATGGTAACAGTCCCTGAAGAGGACCCCCGACACCTCCTGGAACTGTAGGGTCCCAAGCACAAAGCCTCCCTCCCCTGCCAGCTCTGAGACAGAGGGTTGGGGGGGGGGGACATGGGCACTGTGGGGCAGCAAGCCTGGGCTCTGTGGCAGTGATTCATATCCAACCCATTCTGTGCACATACAAACACCCTCTAATCTGCGTGGCTTCATTAACAGAGGGACAGGAGTTTTCACTGAGATATATGTCAGCCCTCTCCCAGCAAATTCCCAGGAGGGAGGACTCGGGCAGCACATGGTCAGTGGGATGGCCAGGTGATGCATGCCAGCCAAGTAGCCTGACAGAAGAGGGCAGAGGATCTGGAAGCATAGACCTACAGGGTGTGGATGCCCAGGTGTCACCTCAGCCGGGGGTGGCAGGTGGACAGGAATGTCCTCAGGGAGCGCTGTCTACACTGCAGCCCCACATATTCACATGTACACACACTTTGCATGTGTGTATGCACACTGTGCAGTACTTCAGATGGCTTGCATGCACAATGCTCACAGTTCTGCCCTGAGGTCCGGGTGTCCAGGAGCTGAGTGGACACGTGCCTATGTCCCGGCCAGGAGGCAAGGCACTTCCTCCCCCAGATTTCCCAGGAAGAGGAGACCAGGGCATTCAGCCTCCCACTGGGTGCCACTCTCTGCTCCCTGTCACTGCAGCTGCAAAAAGACAAAGTAAAAGCCAGATGGGGTTCCTAGATTCTGGAAAGTTGCCCTCAGTACCCCAAAACCCACTAACCTCAGATGCAGACCAGGTCCAGGCCCGGATTTGGACTCCGCCACGGGAAAGCCGCCTGGCAGCTTTGCTTTCTTTTGTTCCTACAACTGCCTTATGTTTCCTATTTCAAAGGAAGATTAATTCCAAAGCTGGAAAAGAGCTCAACTGAACGCACACAACTTTTCCCCTTTAATTTAGCAGACACCGTATGTTCGCACACGATGCCAGCAAACTCGCCAGCAAGTAGACTGGAAGGCCAGGCACTCGAGTTTGATTATAGGCAGGGTCCCCAGGGATGGAGCAACTCAGAAAAAGCAATAAACTTTTTTCTTGTTTTTAAACACCCTCTGCGGCGCCATGCGGGAACATTCCCTGCACACTGCAGTAAACCTCTCCACGGGCTGCTCTATTGCTGGCCCCGGGCTGTGGAGATCAAAGGGAGGCCGTGGCTCTGCCTGGCAGAGGGGTCTTAAAGGAGCAGGGACCAACCCAAGCCTCCCCAGGGAAGTTGCCTGGACCCCATGGGAAGGACAAAGGGTCCAGCGGAGGCCTACATGCTCGTCTCTATTAAGTAACAAAAGATTGGGCTGGAGATTTAGTTCAGAGGCATAAGCGCCTGCCTGGCAAGCTCGAGGCCATGAGTTTGAGTCCTGGTGCCAAAAAAAAAAAAAAAAAGATGCCTGGGGAAGGCATCAGCCCCGTGGCCCACACAGGGTAGATATAGGGATAACCTGGAATGCAGGAAGCATGGCTACACCCCTGGGCTCGGTCCAACTGCAGGGACAGCAAAGACGACAGCACATGGTTCTGAGGACACCACCACAGTGACACTCGTGAGACCAAGGACCCGCTGCTCCGGTCGCTAGGGCTAGGGTGGGGGTGGAAGGGGACACGCTGGCCTGATCCCTGTCCCCAGGCCCAGAGTCCATGGCAGTGCTACCAGAGACACAGCACCCTCCATGCCCATCCACCGCTCCCCACAGCAGGCAGTGTGGCCTCTGTCCTCCTGTGTGCTACCTCCACCCTGCCTGAGCCCCAGGTCATGCTGAGGAGTCCCCAAGTGGTTTCCCGAACCTGTAGCCAGGAGGCCACGTCCACTCTGGTGAGACACAAGTATGCAGGCCAGCATGGACCCCCCTCACCCAGCAGTGACAGAGGACCTTCCTGCCCACACAGGGTCTTGGCCTCCATGTCAGTGGTTCAAAGCAAGCCTCAGAGACCACCCGACACTGTCGCCTGCCAGGCACACCTGGACACTGCCTGCGTGACCAGACCTATCCCACTGAAGTATAGCTTGGTCTCAAGGACTTCGTACAACACATGGCCCCAGGGCCCAAGCCAGTGCTGCTGTCAAGAAAGCCTAGGTCATTCAACAAATCTGGGTGTGGAGAGACGGGCCCTGCAGCCAGGAGGCACTCAGAGTGTCCCAGGCGTGACAGGGAAGACAGGTCCTCCACTCCAGACCTGCACAGTGTCACAGAGAGGCCGGCACGTGCTGCCCACAACTGGCATGGCTCCGGGACGTGCACGGGGTGCTCACGGCTCCTCCAGCCTTGTCGTGGTGCTTTGCCCATTCTCCCACCCCCAGCTAGCCATGCTCCCTGCGTGGTTACCGGCCATGGCACTGGCTGCCTCTCATGGGGCTTCTAGATAGCCACTCTCCAACAATCCAATGTCTCCTGAGGGGGTGACACCCATGTCCACTGCGGCAGCCCCACTATCCTCTCCCATGGGGACCCAGCATGGGGTTTCCCCACCCAGCTCCCAATCAACCCCTGGCACTGAGGCACAGGGCAGGTGGGGTGACTATGGTGGACATGGACTCTGGGCTCTGTCTGCAGGGGTCCTGCTCCAGGTCCTCACTGCCCTGCCCAGGTCCTCCCTTCCAAGAGGCCCTTGACGGTAGCCTCTTGCTGGTGCTGTGAGAGCCATTGGGGCTCCTCCACGCCGGATGGCAGGGACATGGCACAGCACAGCTGAGGGACTCTTGCCTCTGTTCTCAGGGCACAGTGGCTGCAGGCTTAAACAGAGAGGATGGGGCGGTGCCCTGTCCTCGGTGAGCCTCAGTCCTCTGAGGAACAAGGGGCACTGCAGGGCACAGCAGAGCCCTGCCCACCTGTGAGCTGACCTGGAGGGAGGGAGGGACAGAGGTACACACACCAGATGGGCTGCCTCCGCTGCCTCGGGCAGAACTTTCTGCCCAAGGGGGGAGGAGCTAAAATGACCCAAGCCAGGTCTATGTCCTGGCCAGTTTACACCCACAGTGGGTGCCCTGGACAGGCTGGTTGGGCCCATGGCCCTGGAGGGCCATGGCTACCATGCCACATGATGCCCCCCAGAGCCACACTTTACACCCAGATCCAGCAGGACACTTGATGGTCATGTTTGAATCACCTCCACTTGAATGTGTCGTAAAATATACCACACCTTTCAGCTTCTCTGACTTCTGAGCTCAAAACCAGTTACCATTTCCTCAGAAGATTCTGCAGAACAAAAGAAAACAAACTTCTCCGGCTGCCAAGGGCTCAGACAGACCCCTCTGTGCAGGGTTCACAGGAGAGGCGTCCAGCACCTGCCGCTGCCCCAGAGCAGAAGCGGGGACCCCCAGCCTGGGGCATGAGCACCCTCCCTTGTCTGGTCTCCAGGGCCAAGCAGTGCTGGCTGTGTGCAAGGTCTCTTTGTGGACACACAGCATTGCCTCAAATGCCCACCTCTCACGGTGACACCCATCAGGGACCCTCTGGAAAGAGGACCAAGGGCAGAGTCTGGGGGCCCATGCTTAGGATCTGAGGATCACAGTAGGCTCTGGATCAAATCGTGTCTGCCAGGCAGACTTCTGCCTCTCCCCACTGAGATGGCAGCCAGTCAGGACTCCCTCTGCAGGGAGGGGGCACAGGGACCCTGGCTTCAGGCAATGCTGGGTCACAGCCTGGAGGGCAGAGCTCAGGGTCCCACAGGCCTCAACATCCTGCACCTCTCATGCAGGTAGGCACCGGAGCTGGGGCAGCTCCCTGCCTGCAGCTGGTCTTGGACCCAGCTCATGAAGGACCGCTGGCCAGTGGTGGCCACTGGGTTGGCTTTCAGTGGGCCCTGCCACCATCACAGCTGAGTGCCCACCATGGAGCAGCACATCTGTCCAGACAGCTGCAGGGCCGACAACGAAGGCTACTGAGGGGCAAGGCTTTCAAAGGGAAGCATAGCTCAACCAGCAAAGTAGAACCAAACCCTCAGACTCATCCAGCGAGGAAATGGGGGCAGAGTGCTAGCTTTACTGGGTGGGCGGCGCCTGGCTTCCCGGGGTGGCTGATGGCCAGCAAAGTCACTTCACTTCTCTTACCCACCAGTTGCTGAAATTCAAGTCCAGGCAGAAGCAAAACAGCCCTAGCCCGGTCCTCAGCACCCCCACTCCAGGTGGTCTCGGGTCCCGTCTCCATTTTGTTGCAGCTGGCCCCTGAAACATGCCTCACAGATGCAGATTGGACATCACACACACTCTGCAAACCTGTCTCAGTCCCCCATAGCTGAAGTTCCCTGGGGCTTCCAGCAGCTGTGGGGCTTCCCAGGGGACTCGCACCCCCTAGCCCCAATCCACTTCCCAGCCTCAGGCCCTCTCTGGACACCACTGTCCGCTCCCTGCCTCTGCCAGGCTGCCAGCTGTGGCCCCATGGGTCCACATCCCAGAGCCCCGACATGGTGGTCCCAGGGTCTGTTGGCACCCACAGGGCAGGAGCTCCACACTTGACCCCTAGGCATCACAGATGCCATTGGCCATGGCCTGGGCCTGTGGGGACACCTCCACTGTCCCCCAGGGCATCTGTGGGAGAGTGAAAATGACAATGCTGGACCCTAGGGATCCCCAGGCTGCTGCCCAGTATACATGTCCTGGGCTCCGGGCACATCCATGAGGGCCCTGGGAAGCAAGGAACATCTGGAAAGTAAGGTGTGAGGGGCACACAGAGGAAGGAGGTTTAGCACAATGCCTTCCGAGGCCGCCTGCAGTCCACCCTGGGCCCTGGGCTGGAGCACTCAGGCAATGCCACCTCTTCGGGGATCCTGAGACCTGGCAGCCAAGCAATAGTGGGGCATTCCCACCTCTTGCCCTGGGCACAACAGTGCCAGCCCTCCATACCACACCTCTGTGCTGGCTGTGATGTGCACCAGGAATCAACCACGGGAAGCCAAAGGGTCCCTGACCCTGGATAGAGGCTGTGAACCCTGCAGCGGGGGTGGGGATGGGGGGGAGTGGGAAGCACACTACGTGCTGCAGCAGGGCCATGGCAGCCACGCTGCACGGACAGATGCAGAACCATCACCAAAGCAAAGCATCCAAGCCCAGTGGGGCTGGGCCTCAATGCAGGAGCCAGGCAGCAGGCAGACGGCAAACACCCGCTGGGCCCACAGACCGGCCTCGAAGGCACTGGTGGGTCACTGCCGTCCTGTACCAGGGCACTATGTGTGGACATCGTAGACCAGGCCACCTGTTCCCTGTGCTTGGCCCACAACAGGTCAGAGGACCCCAGAGGCCGTGTCACCATGTCCTCGCCTCTTGCAGATATGGCAGCCCCCCAGCTTACACACAGGCAGGTCTCCAGACCTCCAGATCCCCTGCTAAGATGCCACCTGGAGTTGGCAGGACATGTCCTTCTCAGGCCAAACTTCATCACATCAAAACCCAGATGGTGACAGTGACTGTCCTCTGAATCGGGGGAAACTGAAGACAGCCCAGCAACTCGAGCTGTGCTGTGACATGACCTCCACCTCCCTTCCACGGACAGTTGGTGTTTAGAAAAGCCACTGCCCAGTGCCCCAGAGCCACTATGCTGCTACTGCTGGTAACCTCGGCCACACACAACTTCAGCTGCCTCCGACGTCACCGCCGATGTCCCTTGCTCCCCTCACAGCCATCACTTAGGAGCCCACAGCCTGGGCCTCAGAGGCACTGAGGGTCCACACATGGCCAGCCAGGACCACATACGGCAAGGGGGTTCCTCACCCAGGATGCTGACACTGAAGGGCTCAGGGGCCCACAGACACATGCGGTCAGTTCTAGAGTGGGACTTGGATGAGCCCTGACCATGCATGAAGGTTACTGCCACAATTCCCTGGGCAGAATGTTGCTCACTGCCACTCTATGTGAAACACGCTGACCTCTGTGAGGTGTGGGATCTTTCAGAGGGGGACATGGGTGATAACAGAACCCTGGATGCTGTGTGGAGATAGTGAAGGCAGGCGGCCTAACACCTGCTGTCCCCTGCCAAGCACCCACTGGACCTGAGGTAAGAGTCACCAGCAAGTGGGCTGCCACCTGGCCTTGAGGACACAGCAGGAGCAGAGCAGGCTGTGCTCACCAGGGTCTCAGGGCTGAGTGGGCCTGGGCCTCATGGACTGCGGCTGAGGAGGACAGCGTGGGACAGCAGTGTGATTACCTGGAGGCTGAGGCATTCCATGCATGCCTCAGTCCTTGGTTCCTTCCAGGTGAGAAAGGAGCTTAGCTTTGTGAAATCAGGGTGCAATGCAAAGACCCCACTACTCTAAGAAAAGTTCCTCAATGTGGTGTCCGTGATCTTGCATCCACACCCAGATGCGTGGAAAGGTGTCAGCTCTGATACCACCCTGTGCCCTCAGGTTTCTGCAGGGCCAGGTCCCCAAGCTGAACAGTCAGGGGTCAGGGAGGCTCAAGCCCATCACTACGAGGAGGACACCAGCCCAGTGTCACAACTGACCTATGGCAGCCCAAGAGCCAGCGTGCTGGACACCAGTGTGCCCACCAGCAGGCATGGCATGGCTAAGAGGGCCAGGGCTCTGCTGAACCCCCCAGCCACATCCTTGCCGTGTGCAGCGTAGACCCACATGCGCCTCCCATGTGCACAGACATAGTGTTAGACGACCAGGAAGCGCAGAGCAGCCAGGGCTACTCATCCCTGAGTGCCAGGAGCCCTGGCTCAGGAGGAGCTGCAGCGTTTCCCACACACACCTAGGACCTTCCGCCCAAACGGCAGAACATCCTCCAGAAGGACTCGGACTCCTCAGGGCCCAGCAAGCAGCTCCTGGGACCTGGAGTGTTGGAGCCAGCAGCACTAGAGGGGCTCTCAGGCCCACGTGTGGCCCTTGGCCCCAACATCAGTGAAAACTTAATATCCACTGCGGCACTGGCACAGAAGCAAGGGGCTGCTTTGCCAAGATGCCTCCGGGGCCTCCAGGCCCAGACAGCTCTGATCCTGGACACTTGGCTTCAAGATTCACCTTGGGACACCTGGGTGGAAAAAAGACCCTGCCACCAGGGCAGCATCTGTGGTCTGGGTGGCCTCAGCTTTCCAAAGCTAGGATGCCTTGCAGGTCTGTGGTCACCCTGGAAGACAGGGCTTTCCCTGCTAACCCAGGTCCCTCCAACTCTGCCTGGGGCTGAGGCGCAGGCCTCCAGACCCCCAGTCTGGAGCATCCTGGTCCCTCCCATAGCCCCTTCCCCAACTTCACCACCCCATCCCAGCCCGGCTGGGATCCCCACAACCCTACCCAGCAGCCTCCTCCCTCGGCCTTTGCCTCTGGGGCCGCGATCTCAGCCCGGGAGCTCCCTCCTGCCCGGTCCCCTGCCCGGCCCCGCCGCCTACCTGCTTGTCCCGCGCGCGGGGCTCTGCGCCGCCCCGCCGCTCCGCCTCCTCTGCGCCCCTGCGGCCGCCGGCGAATGCGGTCACCGCGAAGCTGTCGCCTGGCGGGAAACGCGGGCGGGTGTGGGGGCCGCCGTGAGCCCCGGCCGCCCCTCCCACCCCTGGCCGTCCCGGCGGGGACGCAAGGCACTCACCTTCGGGGCTCTCTCTCCGACGGCTCGCGGCGCGCGCGGGGGCCCGGGGACGCGCGGCGGCGGCGGGGGGCCCGGGCCGGGGCGCGCCGCGCTTGGACTGCTGGGTCCCCATCCGCGGGCCTGGCCGGGTCGGGGTCGGGGTCCGGGTCCCGGTCCGGGTGCGGGGCGCAGCAGGAAGGGCGGGCGCGGCGCGGGGATGGCGACAGCGTCTACCCGGCTCCCTGAGCGCGCGCCCCCCCGCGCCGGATTTTAACCGCTGCCTCCGCAGCGCCCCCCGCGGCCAAGGCCCGCGGCGCACGGCTCCGCCCCGGACGGCTGCGCAGGTGGGGCTCTGGGGAGCTGACAGGGTGGGTAGCGGACCCGCACCGAGGTCCTGGCTCTTGGAGGTCCGCATCTACCATCCCCGGACCGCCTGAGGAGCCCAAAACTAGAGCGGCTGGGCCTCTCCCTTCCCAGGGAGGATTTGGGAACCCCAGGGTTTGGAGACCTCCCTTGGCTGTTGGGAGGCAAAACAACAGAAGACAAGACGCCCCCACGGACTCAGAGATGAACGGGGCAAGGAGGGTCCAGCGCGTGGAGCCAGAATCCACTCTGGGCTGCCTGCCTGGACCGCGTACCCCGACAGGAGATCTGGCCCCAATTAGCCTTCTGCCCAGCATAGGTGAGGCAGCTCTGTGCCCCCCACCCACCCTTGACTTTGCCAGACTGGGGCTGTGGGCCGCTCGGGAGGCATCAGCTCTCCTCACCAGCCTGGCCCAGCCACTCAGCTCCATTCCTCTTTCAGGAGCAGGTCTGTCAGCCCTCTCCATGCCCACCCGCCACCCACTAGGCCCCTGCTTCTTGGGTGTTACCACCCTCTCTGCTTCCCTCCTTCTGTCCAGAAACTCGTCTGCCCCCTCCTGCTGGCCCCGGCTGCTTCCTTGGGTCAGGTCCATACAGCAATGTGTCCTAATGGGCTCCTGTTGCGGTTTCATGCACAGATATGGTTCTTCTCCAGACCCTGTGGTCCCTCCAGGTGTCCCAGTGGGTTGGACTCCCCACCATCGGCCAGTGCTGGTTCTCAGCCTGGATGTGGCTGCTTTAGTGGTGTCTGCTCACTGGGTCTCTACCAGTCCTACTCTGGATTGGCAGAATTCCTTCTGCTCCCTACTCCCACCTCCCTTGGGAGGTGCCACCCCCTAGCGCGCCCCTGTAGTCCTCCCCCTGCCCTGCCACTCACAGTGGTGGGGCTTCGGTCCAGCTGCACCCCGTGGATGTCGCACCTGGATCATCCTATTCGACTAGCCTGTCTCCAGCAGCTGAGCTATCACCCCCTGTAGAGACCCAAGAGCCCTTGTATCTAACTCAGGGTCAGTGACACAAGCCAATCCATGAGATACACAGAGGTCATCCAGTGGTGTCCAGCAGGTGCATGTGCACCCACACACACACATACACACACACATACACACACAGTGCAATGGCCTATGACTTTGACAGCCACCTCCTGGACCTGTGTGTACTGAGTCCCAAAATCAAGCCCAACATAGCGAGTGGTGTGGGGAGCAGGCCTGTCCATCTGTCTGCCCTTGCTCCCTCTCTGCGGAGGCTGGCCTCCTGTCCTCTGAGGTCCTGCACTGCTCAGCTATTGGACAGCATCCTTCCCGAGAGGAAGGAGCTGCCAGAGTTGCTGCTCTTGGCTCTGGTCATGGGGTGGGCTCCTTGTGTCCTCTCCCTGCCAGGCCAAGGCTGACTGCATGACAGAGACAACTCACATAGTCTCCAAGTCCCCTGGCAGTCGCACAGCACCATGCAGGAAGTGGTGTGTCATGAGGCATCAGGAGGAAATGACAAGTGCCAGGAGGCCACTTACTTCCCAGACGCCACCCGCCACAGGTCTCACCTGAGGACCAGGGATGCAGTGGTGCCCTGCTGGTATGGTGAGCCGCACCAGCTCAACAGTGCTGGGGTGTCATGATGCCCCTTGCCAGGGCAAGGAAGGGAGGCTGGCAGTGAGTCTCTCTCTGCACTGTCACCTTCCCTGTACCCTCTGCCACTTCCAGAGAAATCTGTGCACCTGGTGGACGCTGTCCACAGTCAGAGAGCACCTGTCCTTTGGATAAGTCCCAAGGGCAATCCAGGGGGTGCCTGGGCCCTGGGTCTCCTCTCATCCCTGTTGGTATGGCTGCCTGCCACCAAGCACCATCCTGTAGGCCAGCAGGCCTGGCAGAGCTCTGGGTGCAGCACTGCAGTTGCCATCCTGGCAAGAGTCGTGCTCACAGAGAGTGAACTGCATGTCCTGGGCCAGCACAGTGCACACAGAGCTTGGCACACGTGGCCTCCAGGTGGCTGCCGTGAGCACCCTCCCTCCACTTGGTGCTGCGATGTAGAGAGGCAGAGGGAGCAGCTCTGTCTCTGGGAAGACCTGTTCACAGGAGCAGGTGGAACCCTGGCTCACCCCTCATCTCCCCCAAGTGCCCCCCATGGTTTTTACTCTCCTGCCACCTGTCCTGTGACCCCACAACTACATCCCAGGTTGCTGTCCTGCTCTGCACATCTCTGTCGAGGAGATCCAGGGTGGCCAGCACTGTCTGCCACCTCCCAGCTTCCATGAGGAGCTGCTGGCTATGGGCTGAGGCAGAGCAGGTGGGCAGGCAGACTCCTCAGCCTGGGGCAGCCTGCAGAGGAGCACTGCAGTGAGCCAGCAGGGCTGCGCCCTCTCCCCTCCGCCTGTCCTCCAACAGGGCTGCTGCTTGGATGTAGGTTGGTCCCCCAGGTCAGCTGTCCTCACCTCCAGCTGGCTTCTACTGTGCTGTGTCCTCACCCCTGCTCTGCCATTCTTGGGGCCCTGGCACCCACAGACGGTGCTGTGTGTTTGCAGGCCAACAGAGGCTGCCCTGTCTGCTCCAAGAAGGAAGGAAAGGACCGCTGAGCTCCCTCACAGGAGCCACCAGCTCCCAGGGTGAAAATGCAACAAATTGTCACCCCCCCTCCAGGGAGCCTAGGATGTGCCAAGAGAGCTGACTCAGCCTCTCTGGGCTGGTGACCAGGGAGGTACCAGGGGTGCAGGGTCCCGTGTCAGTGGAGACGGTGACACTGTAGCCACCATACCTAGTGCTATATCACCCGTCTGGGGCGCCACCACAGTCCTGAAGACATGGCTCTGCAGCCCACAGTGCAGCCTTGTGGTCGTCCCAGCAGGACCCTGCAGCCTAGCCTCACAGAGTAACCCTGATCTCACTCCATACCCTCTTCCAGTGCCCTAAGTCACGGTCCTCCCTGCAGGACGCTGCCTCAAGCATAGAGCCCAGGCCACATGGGGTGAAGAGGACACACTGCCGAGCAGTGTCACTGTAGGAGAAAATACTCCCCAGTCGGTGTATTGTTTCTTTGCTGCCTAGGTAATGGTTCTGTTCCAGTTCTGCTTGTATCTGTCTCTTAAAAACAGCTGGTCGCTGTGATACACCTTGTAAGAACTGATCCCCAGGGGCTGGGGATTTAGCTCAGCGGCATAAGCGCCTGCTTTGCAAGCAGGCCTTCGTGAGTTCAATCCCTGGTACCAATAAAAAAAAAAAACCAATCCCCAGTGGACAAGCCATTCTGCTTCTGTACTTCCTGCTTTTTTATTCCACATAAGCCCTAGACCTCCAGGGATCAGGGCCTGGTATTCTGGGGGTGATACCCATCAATGCCCATTGATGTAAATGAATCTGCCTCCGGAATCCCAGGTATTTCTGCTTGCTCCTGCCCTGTCACGTTGGTGTGGATGGTAACTGCTAAGGTGCTTCTGGGCTATGGGTGAGGACCATGTAGAGGCAAAGTGCTCTCCATGCTGGGACACCTTTCCTGGCTGAGGGCCCAACAGGACATGTGACAGGACATGGGAGGCACGCAGCTGAGCAAAGGGACCACAGTGCTGGCAGGAACCTCTCCTTAAGGACAGCTTGGGTTGCCTTTTGCTGGACCCCTGGTCCTCAGGAGCCTGCTGTCTCCATAGAGCTCCCGGACCTGTCTGCCCCTCCCTCCCAGCCAGCTCTGTGTGTGTGGAGGGAACAGCAAGTTTATTCAGGGCTTGGACCCCAAAACCTTGCAGTGCCCCTCAGGGCCATGCCAGGATGAGCCTTCCTACCCTGCTTTCTCTCTGGCACTTCTGTGACCCAAGTGGGGCAGCCCTGCTCCACTACATTCCTGGGGCTGCCCCACTTGGGTCAAAGGGTCTCCATCTCTGCAGAGTACAGTACAGCTCATGTCCCCAGGCTTCTTGGTGACTGTCCTCTAATCTGACATCAAAAAGATTCGAGCTGGCCCTGGGATGGCACCAGGCCTGGGCAGGGGCTCGGCAAACTTTCAGGCCCACATACCCACAGAGCCCTCAGTGAGGCTCTGCTGGCTCCCTGTGGACCATCGAGTGGGTGTGGGACACCAGGACTGCATCCCCAGGGTGTCTCTGTGCCCTTGGGCACTCGGGTGGCTCCTTGCTCTGCAGGTGTAATTATGAGATGAGATGCTGGGTGGGGTCCTCACCTTTCATCCTGGTAATGGGTGTCATTATGGCTTTCCCAGCCCAGAGATGGATTGTAAGGATAGAGAAGGCAGCAACTAGCAGGGGACGCTCAGGAAGTCCACGC